TCCACTTCTCTGGCAGGTGTTGCTGCATGATCGTCTGAAGGTAGATATGCCGATTCGAGTATTACCTCCTTCGGACCATTTCCTGCATCGATCTTGATTCTGACTGCTGTCAAATCTCTGGAACAGAAATTAGTTAACAGCAGTATTTTTATGCCTTTTTTTGACAATTATGCAGGTTCGAGGGGTGTTTGTGGATCTGTCATATATTAACTCTCCACCTCTTATTGTACCATGTCTAATCCACGGTTCTTGTTCCAGGGCCACTTCAAAACTCCCCATCGCCACTGTAAGTACAGCTGAAGCAGCCTTACAGTGCTGAAGGTTGATCTGGATTATCCTGATCCTCGCCAGGCCGCCTTAGGACCCTGAAGGTCACCCTTCCTAACTTATAATAGGCCCGGAAGTGTGACTTCTCGAGGGCCCTGTACGACGCTTCGTCAATTGAAAACACTAGGAGTTGCCCTCCCTTTTCAATTTTACTGCTCATTAAAAGCTAGTCCCGCGTCTTCAGTTCCCTATTCTGGAGCTGAAGAAGTCCCCTGACTCTTTCAACCTCGAACTCATACGGGATCGAAACCAGAACCCTGGGTCTTCTCGGGAGGTTCTTAGATTCAACCACGGTCAAATCCGCGCCCTCCCAAAGGTTTCCCAGAGTGCTGACCGTCCTCCTTAACCAGTCCGCAGTCTGCTGGTTAGCGCAGGTCATCCAAATAACCCCTGCGCTAAACGATGTTCTATGAAAATGTGGTGCTCCTCCCTCCACTGTCTGAAGGGGCAGCGTAGAGCCTTTCCACAAGACTTTATTGTAACAAGTCTCCTTGTGCTTGGTCTAGAGTTATATCTGGATGCCTTCTCTGGATGACAGCCAGTCGGATACCCCTCAAAGTATCGTTGTACGAGCCAGCCGATGCCGAAGCATTTCTGGCCCGCTTTGTTCCACTTCGAGTGGGGGGAGTCTGCGACTCAGACCGAGGCCTTTTATCCCCTTTGTTCGTTTGGTCCTCCCTCCGTTGGGTTCGTTTTTGGGCTGCATTCTTGTGGGGATTTTCCTTCGTACATGTTCCTGCAGCCATTTTCCTTTCTTTCAGAAGTTTCTTTCTCTCCGCTCCTGAAGGTTTTTTCGGCCAATATACATAACTTTGATATTTTTATTATAAGTGTAAAAAATACGAAAACCATATACATACAGTTCCAATTTTTAAATAAATCTCCGTTATAAATTTTTATATTTAAAACTACATACTTTCCTAAAGATTTTGCAGTACTTAAATAATGTATAGAATAAATTTCTACAATAGACAAGTAATTCTTAAGAAATAAAGCAATACCTCTATTTTGTATTTTGTGAACTAAAAGTAATAATTAAACTTTTCACCAAAAAGAAATATTTCACATATAAAAAAAATTTAAAACGGTTCTGTCCTTCTTACATTTGCGAAGACTGCCCTGATATCTAAATCTATTTTCTTCTTCAAAGTAATTAATAGCGGATTCGACTCAAATGCTCTTGCTCAATGACAAAGCGCTTTTAGTTCTGAATTGATTTTGGGTAACATTTTTATAATTCAAATTTATATCTAGCAGTGCACACAGCAAGCACGAGCTAGAATTCGACATTGGTGGCGCGCATCTTTATCGTTATTCGACTGGCACAGTTAGCACTTGATATTTCAGGTTTCTAACAAATTTTTAACGATATTTCTTTATAGTTGCCAAACCAAAAATTAAATTTCTATTAATTTCAAAGATTTGCCATTCTCACTAATAATAAAAACAAAGATGGTAATATATTTCAAAATATTAAATAATTCTTAACCTCCAAAACGACACTGGCACTGAAAAAAAGTACAGTTCCAAAAAATTCGAATTTTGAGCAAGAACGCCTGCCAGTCGAACAAAAATTTCACTATGCCTTGATACCAAGCAATTTGAGTCGAATGCAATAATTGACTTTTAAGTAATTAGATTCTGCCAGTCGAACAGACACCACTTAAAAAAGTCGAGCTAAATGCGCATTAATGCAGCCAGTCGAATCCGCTATAAGTTGTTCAATCGTTATCTATAAAGGTATCTCACATCTCGCTCATACACCCGAATTTAAAAAGCAGCAGAACAAAAATTCAGTCCGTGTACAGAAAACTTTTCATATCCTGAAAACGTCAAATGTCAACTAAAATTTCTACTTTTAAAGATCAAACGTGCCGCCTCAGAGTGCCAACAATACTGATTGATAGATATACTGGTGTACGAGTCCGGAGCTCGATGAAGCGATTCACCATATTTGAAAATCACGTGAGTAAAAATTTTATTTTGACCTCGTAAAATCATGTTGGATAATTCATGTTTGTGTCTGAATAAAATTCTTGCACCAGTCTACACCTGGTAAATTGTCTTTGAACTTCTTTAGGAGGACACCTTCTTTGTTTAAATGACTCTTCAGAACTACTCGCAATTCTGTCATGGTTAGGGGGCAGCCTTATTCGGAGCTGGCTATTATAACGTTGACAATGGACCGTTCAATATTCGGGGAGATTAGCTGAGGTGTTCCAACAGGACATACATGTTTTTTTTTAACTAGGGTTCTTCTAGGAACATTGAAGGTTTTGGACGCTTTGGTATATCCCATTTGATTACTTTTAATCAGTAGAACTACTCTTCGGTATAATCTTTATAAAGCCGTGCACCCACTTGTCTTTTATACGTTCGAACCACTTTCTAAAAAAAAAGAAAAACACACAATGTGGAGCAACTTTGCCAACCGCAAAAAATATTGGAAATTTAGCATCCTGAAAACTGTTATCATAAATAGAACTCACATATGCACTGGAATAGGTGATGTTAAAACCAGAATTCAAGATTCATTATATAGTTTTTATTACACAACCCTTAGCGTAGCAACATGATTTTACGAGGTCAAAATAAAATTTTTACTCACGTGATTTTCAAATATGGCGCACCGCTTCACCGAGCTCCGGACTCGTACTGCCTAAAACCTGTTGATCGCGTAGTATTTTGCCGCCAATTGCATTAGAGCTGCTTTGCCAGATTAACAGAAAATAATTTTTTAGTTTTTTAAGCAAAGTTGCTCCGGCTGGCAAAGTAACCCCACTTTACGGTAGTTTGAAGCTCATTTCTCAAAAAGCATCCAAGATAGAACCCGGAAATTTTAAATCGTTAACAGTAACGCCGTGCAAAATTTTAGACCGAAAAATATTATTTTTTCATACCTTCTCGATCTTCTGATATCCTGATACCAAAATTTTATCAACAAAATTACTGGTTCTCGGATTTTTAAAAACTTTGCCACACTTTGTAAAACACCTTTTATGTCTCCTAATACAAAAGATTCATGAACCAAAAGTTGTAATTTTGTTGATAAATGTTGACATTAGGATAATAGAATAGCGAGGAAGTATATTAAAAATGGCGAGAAAATTAGGTTCCTTAAAGTTACTGTATAATTTAAAAAAGGGATTTTTTTAAGTAAACTTTGAATTCTTCTCAAGGACAAAGATACATTTTGGTATATAAATTGGGTCAAGTCGACTTATTTTACCTGTATAACTGAAGGTTTTCAAAAGTAATTTTGCACTAAAGTACCAAAAACGTACTTATTTTAATAATAATGACTTACAGGAGAAAGCAGGTCTCTGTGAGAGAAACCGATATGAGCATGAGCATGCGCACCAATCTAAATATAGAAAGTGTTTACCTAAATTAAACTTTACTTAATAATTATTTTTATCAGTTTCTACACTACCTACATAGAAATAAATTTCAAACTTTAAACTTAAAATAGAGTACCTGAAGCGATAGAAAATGAAATAAGTAACAAATTGTATTAATATATTTTTGACTTATTTTCTCTGCAACCGAAGAGCTTGGATATTTTCGGTATCACGTCGTGCGTTCTAAGTTCAAAGATAAGAACATCTAATAATTATTTAAAGATTATTTTATTTAGTATCCTTTACTTTGATTAATTCCTATTTAATAATATAGATAACGAATAGAATTTATGTAATATTTGTGAAGTATCTATTATCACATTATTACAGCAGCCATCACAAAATACTAGCGATTTAAAAAAAATGGCAAGTATCTACAAATTAATCATTAATCGTAGTTAAGAATTAATTATTTTTTTTTTACCATTTTTTTACTTTTAGGTTAATTTAACGTACAGGGGATTATGTGCTCCAGTCTTCACAATTTTCAACAAAGATCAGTAAGTACATAGATATTATTTTGTAGTATGCGTTCAAAATGTGAAATTGGTAGGTATCTCGAAATCATGAGTATTTTTTCGAAAAACGTACCAACTATTTCCATTATAATTTATTCCTTTTATTTGAACCATACTGTATATACGGAGGTAGATTTCAGTGACGTAGGTGATTTATTTTAGAAGATCCATTAATACATACTTTTTTAAGAGAATTTTTAGTTTCCATTTTAATTATCTTTCACCCGATATGTCTATTATTTCGGTAATTGAAGCTACATAGTAATGTATATACTGATGTAGATTTTAGTGACGTGGGTGATTTATTTTAGAAGATCTACTAATACATATTTTTTTAAGAGAATTTTCAGTTTCCATTTTAATTATCTGTCCCCTTATATGTCTATTATTTCAGTAATTGAAGCTACAGAGTAAAAAAAGTTTTACCATTGATAGTGTCGCGCAAAAGCCAACCCTGTGCTTTGATTACTCATTGCCCGAGGTATGAAATCTAGCGCTGGCAAGAAAAAGAAGAAGAATAAGAAGCATAAACTGCTATTTTTGGTTTTTGTTTTTACTACCCTCAATAAGAGGGAAGTATTATAATCGTAAAAAAGTCAACCCACGAGATTATTTCAAATTGTTACGTTTCAGGGTCCCTAAATTATGAAAAACATGTTTCCCCATTCCGTCTGTATGTCTGTCGTCGTCTTTGTAGAAAATTTCAAATTTTATAGATATAGTTCCTTTCTGGCTTAAAACTAGTTATAATTTCGTCAGTTATATACAGGGTGAGCAGTTTTAAAAAATAATGTATTTTTTAAAGTCTGCAGATTTCGACTAAAATTAGTATGTGAGTACTTTAGAAGGAATCGTATTTAGTCAAAAAAGGTCCCCTAAATAAAAATATTAAAAAGCGTCCTTTTGGTTTGTGTACTTGGACCAGTTTAAAAGCAGCCAATCATTATCATTCAATAACGGTATAAAAGGGTTTTCTCGATCTTCCTCTTGATCCGAACCAACTCTCATTTCGCCTTTGCTCGGTGTTCTTCGTCACATTCGTAAAATGCTTAGTTCTTGTTTTTACAATTTCTATATCGAGGGAAGTTCTGGGTAAAATATTTTACCGATTTTTACTGTCCTATCTGTACTCAAAAGAAAATTCTTTAAATTAAAGTTACTTTTAATATTCTTCCTCTATAATTTTTGCCTCATACAGAATTTTCCTAAAATGGTCCGTATTCGAGAAATTTGACAAAATGTGGAAAATCATGTGTTGGCTACATCAAATTTTTTTATCTGTAATTGCAACATATGTGTACATTAATATTTGTGTAAACTAAACAGTGTAACTATTATGTAACAAGCGAATTAAAAGTAAAATTATTTTATTTCAGATCAGTTAACACTAAACTAATACCAGAATACGCAAAAAGTTTGGCTCAAAATGGAATTGATGGAGTTTTGGGTAAGTAACACCAACGTTAATCTAAAATATTAAAAGTTTGAACGATGACTTACCTTAAGAAAGTTCAAGTTTAAATATATGAGCTTGTCTTTTCTTCAATATATAATACCTTTTATATTATTGTGTCACAGCGTATACAGAGAAGAATTTTTGGAACTTGATATTCACAAATATTTCGTAGATATTTACGATGCTGTTTAGACAGTATTGGAGCTACTGAAGATATTCAAAAAGGGGTTTGAAATATTGCCTAAATCTAACAAATACTTTTGGAAATTTTGACGGCTGTAGAGATGAACGAAATAAAAAACTATTCTTTTTAAAGACTGACAAAAGAAATAATTCTTTAAAAAGAAAATTAAGAATTACATAGAAAAGTATGATGTAAAATTACAGACATAATGGGACAGTTTTTACAAACATCTAATCCGGAGTACTATTTATAATGCGAGTTACATAAAAACAAGTATTATTGAAAATTTTAATAGTTTTGCATTTTATAGATTCCATGTCTCCGCTAGTAATGAATATTTAATTTTTGTATACATTAAGATCTCTTTTTGTAATAAGCATAGAGAAAATTGGGTTTTCGGCAGATGAGTGGATAGTTTCTAGGTCAGAGTCATGTGGGTTGATTTTGTCTGGTTTTCTTAACTGCATGTAGGATATAATATTAACTTTGTCTGAACAGTTATTTGTTATTTCTAAGGATTCTAAAATATCGCTAAAATCTGAGCTATCTATTGGTAGAATTTGATCTATGTTTTCAAAAAAATGTTCGATTACATCATCTGCATCTCCTGGGTTATTGTGTATTGATTCAGTTTCCATTGCATTTACTTCCTATTTATAAGGGTTTCTGCTTAAGGCGTCCGCCTCTTGATTTGAAGTACCTTTTTTATGACGTAGTCAAATTATTCTAATTTGAGCCTCCATCTCACTAATTTGGAGTTCGGCTCTTTTAAAGAGAAAAGCCACTGCAATGGTTTTTGGTCTGAAAATATTGTAAAGATATACAGATACGATCTAAAGAACTTGCAACTCCACGCTATTGCAAGGAGTTCTTTTTCTATTGTCGAATAGTTTACCTCTGCCGGGTTTAAGGTACACGAAGCAAAACATAAAGGGTGGCTGTCTTGTGAAAGTACGGCACCAATTGCATAATTAGAACTATATCTGTAGTTAATTCAAAATCTTTGTTAAAGTCCAGGTAGGCTAAAAACCGGTTACATGTTTCGAAACGGTCAATAAATTCTTTAGTATAAACTACTTTTTCATTTTTACTTTCCTATCTGTATTCAGATATAAGGAAAGTATAGGAATCATGATTTTTTTCGACCTCGAGTTTTCGACGGATTTTTACGTTTTGAGGTCCCCTGAATCCGTTTTGACTATTTTCGCGATCTGTGTGTGTGTCTGTATAACGCATAACTCATGAACCGATACACGGAAAAACACCAAATTTCAAACTTAAGCTTTATTCCAGCGTCTAATGAGCTGATTAGATTTTGGGCAGAGTCGGAACATCTGGGGGGGTACTTTATAGGTGGTCATTTTTATATTTTATGGAATATATCTGTTATTTACGTTTAGGGAAGAAAATTTTTTAAATAAAAGTTACTTCTTATTTTATTATCTATAATTTTTGTAATTTACAAAATTTTCCTAAAATGGTCCGTATTCGAGAAATTTGACAAAATGTAAAAAAATATTTTTTTTTATAAAAATTGTTCAAACAAAAGTTGTTTGTAATATAATTCTCTATAATTTTTGTCCCATAAATAATTTCTCTAAAATGGACCGTATTCGAGATATTTGAGAAAATGTGTAAATTTCGAAATTTGAAAACTCAAAAACTGATAAAGAAAAAATCAATAAATTTTAAACTTAAGTTTTATTTCGGCCTGACGTGAAATGATTAGATTTTGGACAAAGTCGGAACATCTGGGGAGGCCGTTTATATATTTTATGGAATATATCTGTTATTTATGTTTGGAGAAGAAAATTGTTCAAATAAAAGTTACTTCTAATATTATTATCTATAATTTTTGCCTTATGTAAAAATTTTCTGAAATGGTCCGTATTCGAGAAATTTGACAAAATGTGCAAAATTCTGATTTTTATGAAAATTGTTGAAATAAAAGTTGTTTGCGATATCGATCTCTATAATATTTGTTCATACATGATTTTTTTAAATGGACCGTAATGGAAAAATTGTAGGAAAAGTGCTAAATTTAAATTTTTCAGTATTTTCATTTTCAATGAATATCTATAGAAAAATGTTTCGCGGTAGATGTATGTGGACAATGTATATATTTAGTTTATCCTCTAAACATTTATAGAGATGCTGCAATAGGTTGTACACAATAAACGGAAAAAGCCTGTAATAACTAGATAGGAAAGTCATGTGTTGGACACATCAGATTTTTCTTAAGATATTTCGTCATCGGCTTTGTTATTTTAGCGAAATATTTAATAAATTTCCGATATTAACCGAGTAACTCTAAAAACAATTTAATATCTTTTTGAGTTTTTGGTATGAGGAATCCTTGTATCGCTCGAATTTTTTTTGGATTAGGTTTTAATCCCGTCGGAGGTTACAATGTGTCAAAAAACTCTACCTCCTTACGAAGACATTCAGATTTATCTAATTGTATTTTTAAGCGGTCTTCGCGCAATTTGGAGAAAACTGATTTTAAATTTTGAATATGCTCTTGTAATCCGGTGCTAAAAAATATATCGTCCATATATACCATACTTATTTTATCTTGGACATCTTTTAGAATTTCATCCGTAATCCTTTAATCGTTTAATCATTTAAACGTGCAGTGTTTGTCTAACAAAGTGGAAATGCTCGATGTATTCTTAAACGAATTTAATTTTGATGTTCTTTGCATCTCGGAACATTGGTTAAATGAGATTGATCTTGGTAGCGTGAACTTGGATGGTTATATATGTGCTACTTCATTTTGTAGAAGTGAGAAATTGCGTGGCGGCGTAGCTATATTTCTAAAAAAACATATAAAAATAAGCGTTTTGGACGTAACAAAATTTAACTTCGAACAATCAAGTGAATTTTGCGCATTAGAACTTCCCGAGTTGAAATTGCTTATAGTGGTTGTCTATAGATCGGGTAAAGGAAATATTGATTTATTTTTTGAAAATTTTGAAAAGTTATTAGATATAATTGTAACACTTGAACGAAATATTATTATCTTGGGTGATTTTAATATTGATTTTAAAGTTACTTCGAGAGGTAATACCGAGCTCAATTCTATTTTAATGTCTTTTGGTTTAAAAACTGCGATTAATGAATATACTAGAGTCACGGCTACATCTTCCTCATGTTTAGATAACATAATTACAAACTTAGACGATTCTTCAATAAATTCGGGTGTTTTTGAACCATGTATTTCAGACCATCGAGGCCAATTTATAACTGTGAAAAACAATATTGAAAATCAACGACAAATTTTTTACAACAGGATTTTCTCAAAAAAATCAATTGATAAAATCAGATATTCCCTAAACTCTATTGACTGGGTTATCTTTGAAACAATTTATGATGCAGATTATCTTGCAAATTTTTTAATAAAAACCTATAGTGATTTGGTTGTCAAATTTTGCCCACTTAAAAAATGCGTAGAACAAGCAAAAAAATCACCGATAGTTTGGTTCAATGAAAATATAAAATCTATGAGAAATACTCTATCAGCTCTTAAAGTTAAAGCAGAAGTAAGCAAACAGTCGAGTGATTCAAACACTTATAAACAATTTAGAAATCAATATTATCTTACACTGAAAAATACCAAAAAAACTGCTTATAGTAATTACATAACAACATCTAGCAATAAGTCGAAGGCCTGCTGGCGAATAATTAATTACGAAGGAAACAGAGTTGTCTCTAAGAACAGTAATATTAATCTTAATCCTGACGCATTTAATGATTTTTTTACAAATATTTCTCTTGAAATAATTAAATCGCTTCCAAAAGTACCTAATAAAAGCCTTTTATCTTTTAAAAACTTTCCTGCACCAGTTGGATCATTTTTTTTAAATCCGGTCACACAAAATGAAGTTTTGAATACAATAAAATGCTTAAAAAACTCTAATTCTCTTGACGTTCATGAACTAAACGTTAAAATTATAAAACAAACTACTGATTTGTTGTTAGATCCTTTGACCAATCTGATAAATGTTATATTTAGTACTGGAGTCTTTCCAGATTGTTTTAAATATTCGAAAGTTATACCATTACATAAAAAAGGCGATAAGAATATCGTGGACAACTATCGTCCAATTTCAATTTTATCTGTATTTAGCAAGATCGTTGAAAAAATCATTAAATCACGTCTTTATAGTTATTTTGAGTCAAAAAACTACTTTAGTGTCACTCAATATGGTTTTCGAACCAACAAATCAACGGTTCAAGCTGTAATAGATGTTGTTCATGGAGTGGTGTCTGGCCTTGAGCAAGGTAGTCACACAGCAGTTACTCTTTGCGACCTGTCGAAAGCTTTCGACTGCATTTCTCATGACATCTTGATTGAGAAGTTAAATTACTACGGCGTCCGAGGAAGTGCGTTAAAACTTTTAGAATCTTATTTATCTGGACGCTTTCAGGCTGTCACATTTCAGAACCAAAGGTCAAATTTTAGTTCGGTTAAGCATGGAGTTCCACAGGGCTCTGTCTTAGGACCACTATTATTTATTATATATACCAACGATTTAAGTAATTATATGGGTCCTTTTAAATCTGTTCTATTTGCAGACGATACCACTTTTGTGTACTCTGCAAAAAATGAAATTGAATTGAAAAATACTGCAGAAACTATTATCGCTAAAGCTGAACATTGGTTCTTAGCTAACAATCTCATGTTAAATCAAAGTAAATCTCAGGAATTGCAGTTTTCTTCGGTTACCGATTCTCAAAATTGCAATAGTGCTAAGTTACTTGGAGTTATGTTAGATAGTAATTTAACTTGGAGAATTCATATAAATAAATTAAAACCTAAATTATGCAGTACCTTATATCTGTTGAGGCAGCTTAAAACTATAACAGATCGTAACATATTAAGAACGATATACTTTTCCCTATTCCATTCCCACATAAATTATGCCACTGCACTTTGGGGTAACAGTTCAGATGCAATTTTGATTTTTCGGCTGCAGAAGAAGGCTGTTAGAATCATAACTGGTTCCAAATTTAGAGAACATTGTCAGCCCTTGTTTATTCAGCAAGGAATAATGCCTCTACCAACGATTTATGTATTTAGTGTCCTTTTGGAAATTCATAAGAAATTATCATGTCTTTCTAGGCAGTCCGACATTCACAAATATCCTACCAGACAAGCTAACAACTTAAGAATAAATAGATATCGTCTAAATAAATCAAAAAACAATTCCCTCGACCTTGGTCTTTATAATGTATTGCCATCCGAGTTTGGGCTGCTGGAGTTCAATTCATTTAAGAAAAAATTAAAAACATTTATGTTGACACATTGTTTTTATTCCGTAGAGGAATATATCGATCGGTGTAAACTTACATAGTTCTTAAACCTTCTACTCTATTTGTTTTCTCTTATTTTTTATGTATACTCACCTAACTTAATTTGAGTTATTTTATTCTACTTAACAATTATATGTATGTAGTTATTTCATTGTGTAGTTCTGTATTTTATGTTTAAAAATAAGCTGTTATTTTAATATGTACGTTTTGTGACTTGCTACAAACATATATTGTAATATGTAACGTAGTCAAATAAAAATTTACTTTACTTTACTTTACTTTACTTTGAAAAGTGGAAGGTGCGTTACGAAGTCCAAATGGCATTTTTAGAAATTAGTAATGCCCATTTTTCAACTATAGAGCTTTCTTGCATTTGGATTTGGTGAAAGCCGGCCCAAAGATCAATAATAGAGAAATATTGGGCTCTACCTAACTTATCGAGAATTGTATTAATATTTGGTATTGGATATCGGTCAGGGATTGTTTTATCGTTGACCTTTCGATAATCAATTACTAATCTAAATTTTTGTCTACCCGATTGATCTTCTTTACGTTTTACAATCCAAATAGGGGATGACCATGGTGAACAGGAAGGGCGTATGATGCCCTTCTCTAGCATTTCATTTATTTGACTCTGTACTTCTTGTTTATGGATATAAGGACTTAGTGTAAATAGGAGATGCATCTGTAGTTTTGATTTCATGTTTAACTTCAGAAGTGAATGTTAATTTATGGCCTGGTTTGAAAAATATATCTGGAAATTCCATACATAATTTAATAATTTCTGATTTTTCTTCTGCGTTCATGTGATTAGTTCTAATAAGTTTTGCTATACCGATTTTTTGATCAAAATTAGTTTCTTTATTACTTAAATTTAAAATGAATTAATATTATATATTTCATTTAATGTTAGGTACAGAAACTGTAGGGTTGAAGGGTTAGTTGTTCACGAGGCTTGTTTTTTGGAAAATTTTCCTTCTTGCTATTTTTATTTAGGTTACTTGAATAATTTGCTTGGGTTGAATTAGAAATCTTAAAATTTTCGTTAGGGTCAAATGTATTATAATCTTCAGAGTGGTTTTGATAAAAGAGATTTTCAGGAGATTCATTAAAATATTCTGAATCGAATAATTATTCAGAAGTAAAATTGGGAGGTGCATTATTGCGATTTTGGAAATAGTTATTACGATTAAAATTTGAATTTTATCTTCGTGACAACATAGTGGGATTTCTTGAAGTGGTCGGATTAGGGAGTTGATTTGGAGGGATTTGGTTTGACCTGAACCTGAAAGCACTTCGGGGATATCCTGTTTGTATGAAACTTTCTAGGAGGCAACTGTCGAGGTTGAATATTAATTGGTTGACTTGGGAATGATCGATTTGGAAATTGACTATTTATAAATAGTTGAAATAGTTGTTGATTGCGTGGAAAATTATAATTATTAAATATACGTTCATGGGTTGCTCGCTGATAAGATATGGGATTTTGATTTTGAGAAAATGATTCTGTTGACGTGTAAGATTGGCGATAATTATTATTACTATGTCTAGAAGTCGATGCTTTGTTCGAATCATTAAAATGTACACCATATCATCCTCCTGTGAAGCTAGTTTTTTTTTAGATGCATATTATTTTTTTAACATGTCGTCGCATCTGACGCTGAGGTTTTTTTGTAATGGGTTATTTGACACACTTTGTCGTTAGCCGAAATAACAGTATCGTTACTCCTTCTAAGTAATTGAATACGATTGCCAAAATTTATTAAATTTTCGTTTTTAAATGATCGCCTTCTCATAAGCTCTTGTACCAAGCCGTCCAAGTCCCTACGATCAGCGAAATTTTGAATAAGTGCAGCTTTTAGGTGTTCCCAATTTGTTAGTTCAGAGCAGTTACCAACTTAAAGTTTCTGCTTTGTCAATAAGATTTTCTTAAATTGATTCAAAAATGTGTTTATTTAGTATGGCATCCTTAAAAGTTTTATAATCTTTAATTACATCCTCACATCTACGTAAAAATTTATTTAAAGAATCGCTATTACCATCATATGGTTTAATGTTTAATCTAGATCTTAAAAGTTCAAAGTTTACTTCCGACATTGTTTGATTATTTAAATTGTTTCATTTATTTTCTTTCTTGTTACTACTACTACAACTACTACTTGAATCTTTAATGGAAATATTTAGCAATCCGCTAACCATATCTTCTATTTCACTCCTAAATTGTAAAAATAAATTATTTTAAGAAAATTGAAATTATTATTATTATTATTATTATTATTATTATTATTATTATTATCAGCCGTCTTCTTCTATGTGTGTGTATGTAACTTGCATGTTAAACCACACGATATCTTATATCTCTTATTACTTTTGTACATAAATGTAACTTCGTTTTTTTTTCATTTTTAGTTCATGGAACGTCCGGAGAAGGAATGTCCATGACAGTAGCCGAAAGAAAATCAGTAGTCGAAGAATGGGTAAAAGCAGTAAAAACTACAAAACAACATTTAATGGTACAAGTAGGCGGATGCCCTCTGCCAGATGTTCTCGAGCTAGCAAAACACGCTGAAAAGGTTGGGGTAGATTCAATATTGTGCCTTCCTGAATTGTATTTCAAACCCAGCACAGTAAAGGAGCTTATAAATTATTTAAAACCTATTGGAGAAGCTGCTCCTAAAACTCCATTGTTGTATTATCATATTCCTGGTTGGACTGGAATTAACAGTGAGTCAATATATATTGCAAATGTACCAAACATGCCCGAATATCAAATATTGATCATTTAATTTTACTGAACCCATAAATTAACAAAATCAACCAACACTATGTTAGTTTGGGTACATTTGACACCCTTAACAAAGTTTCTCTCCTCCCTAATGGTCTGTTTCTACAAATTAGCTAATACATGTAAAATTTTAAAATAGTTAATTTTTTTAGTCAATATGGAACAATTTTTAAACCAAGTTGGTGAAGTTATTCCAAATTTCAAAGGTATTAAGTACACCTCCAACGATTTAGATGGTGGCTTAGCTGCTCTTAGAGTTAAAAATCGCCAATTTGCCGTATTTTTGGGAGCTGATACAGTAAGTGAATTATAACTTTAAAACGACTAATTCCTTGATTATTTTATCGAAAAAATATAAATTTACAATAGAACCTTGGTCATAGTTAGTTTTGTATATTAATTTCATAATTATCCTATTTTTATCAAAATTTCAAATATAAAAACGTGGAAAACATTTTTAGCTAGTAGCACCCGCTCTTTCTATGGGATTTGACTCTATCATCGCTACTTCACTAAATATGTTACCTCAATACTCAGTAGCGATTGCAAAAGCTATCAAAGAAAATAATATAATCGAAGCTAGAAAAATACAGGATGAGTTATCTGCAATTGTAGCAGTTATTACCAAAAATGGTAAGTAAATTATAAAATCTATTTTTTTAATTTTATTTATTTATACATAGTATTATACTTTTAAAGGTAAGTACAAACCAGGCAACAAAATGTTCCCAACTATTGGCAACATGTTGACTGATGTTGGCGACGTACTTGTTGGATACAACAACTTGTATCCCAGAGATAACAGAGATATAACCATTCACTGATAAAATATAATCACGATGCCAAGATTAATTCGACAATCGATATACGCTATTTGTAGGGACGGGGCGAGGCGACGAAAGGTGAGGAGTAAGAGCAGGAATAAAGAGAAAAATTTTAAGCAGACACACTTATTTTTATCAATGAATAAATGTATAAGCCGCTGTGAGCTTATAATAAACAACGTAAATATCCATGCCGGTGTAAGCCCTGTTGCCACTTCCAACCTAACATCACTAGGTTTTGGAAATTATTGAAAATTATTACATCTAATTTAGTTAAATTTAATATAACTAATGATTAAAAAATGTTTGGTTTCAGTTGTAAGAAACTAGGTTGAATTATTTTAGCTTTTTTAATATATGTAAATAATTTTGTAAACAAAACGAGAATAATGAAATGGCATATGACAACAGCGGATATTATACCCGCCTGTGTCCCTTAGAATATGTCTTATTCAGGACCGCACGATATTTGTTAGTAGTTACATTTCCTCGTTATCTCTGCTGTATCCAGATACATGTGTTCAACAATTGTGCTTGTTAAAACCAAAACCAGTTGCGCGTCCATATTAAACGCAGTATTTACGAGTGACATTTAAAAATTGAACTATCTACTGCTGCTGGTGTTAGTGCTGCTTTCATCATAATTGTTTCCCATGTCCAGAAACGAAAAACTAAATATTAGTAGCGAAGTTTTTACAAAATGGAACAAGCTATGGAGACAACTTAATGGCGGAGTTACTTTCCGCAATTTCGTCAGACTTACAAAAACAGATTTCAAAGAAAGCCTTTGTTTGGTAGTCCCTAAAATATTGAAAAAAAATACGACCTACCGTGCTGCGATTCCACCATCATATTTGACGTTTCTATCTCGATATTTTCAGTATGAAATATCCTATAGTGCAGGAGCCCCATGTAGCATTTCAATGAGTCCCTTGTCACAAATAATACAACTATGCACAATTATAATAATATAATAATAATACTTTCCCTAAAGTTTACTCCCTTTCGAGTAAATTTCAACCCCTGAAGTTGACTGAACGACTTGTGTAGGGGAAGGGACGGCTATTATTATTTGCCGTGGCACTCCAGGGCGACTTAAAGATGATATTGATTGTGCCATTTGACTTACAGGTGAGGAAAACCCGGAAAACCTCACCCACCATCATCGAGACGGTAACGCAGGGCAATTTAATAATCTACATGTCATATCAACAGAAATTGAATTTCTATTAATACGGCACACATCAAATCCTATAACGAACCATGCAATTTAATTAAAAATCCACATAGTCTGGTGTAGGATTCGATAATATGAGTATATATTTTCTCATGGACCAGTGAGGTAAAAATAAAAAAAAAAAAATGTACACCAAAATGTATCAATTTGACAACACCGTCCAGACCAAGCGATGTTTACCATTTCAAATTGAAAACATGGATACATGCAACAAGCAACAAAATCCTATGATGTCTTGCCTCCCAACATCGGCACTATGTTGTCGCGTATCTGTCAACTTGTTGAAAATTGATGGGATACATGTTGGCAACAGTGTTGACAATATGTATCCAAGCGATTGTTGTACTTAGCTTAATATCTATTTGCATTATTTTTCTAGGTGCTTGGGTTCCAACTATGAAAGTAGCCACTACCTTATTAACGCAGATTGACGTCGGAAAAGCTAGGCTACCACTTTTAAATTTGACCGATGAGCACGTGACGGAGATGAAAGAATCGTTAAAAAAAGTGTCTCTTCTATGATGAAATAAAGTAACTTTTAAAAACTGTAACAGTTTTTCATTAATAAATCAAAAGGCTAGGGCAATTCCGAACATAATTTTTTGTTAATAAAATCTATTATTATTTCTTAGATAGCTAATAAAATAATTACAACGCGAGGTTATAACATTTTCAAATATTATACCTGGAAAGCGAATATTTTTAAAACGATTGTTTTTTCTAGTAATGCATGATAGTTTCAGTTATTAGTTATTCACCATGCTAACATTAACTCATGGAAAATTAGTAAATCTGCTTTAAATTTTTATACAAGTTTATAACGTTTAAAACACTAGTAAAAGAAATACCTGCAAAGGGGGCCCAGGAAAATGCGAAATTAAAACATTTTTAGCGGTTGTAGATAGAAAGCAACAGACTATACAGACTTGCGAAGAAGGCTAGATTTTGGGATGTTGATTTAGTTCAAAATATGTATTCTGTCTGATAAAATCCAAAAATGTAATCAATTCTTTGATAACTCAATTCGTTTTGGAGTTATTAAAGAAACTGTAAATTATTTTCTTTTGAGATGTCCAAATATTTTTTTTGTAATAAATATATTTTAAACTATGAATAACTCTTAAAAGGATACAGATAGAAATGAGAGTTGAGAAACATTCAAATCAATCTATTTTGTGAAATTTGGGGAAATCTACAGAATTATTAACTCCAGTTTTAAGGGACAGTAGATTTGGAATGTAAACATCAGATTATAAAAAAATATTTATTAAATAATAATCATTTTACTAACAAAATAACTATATATTTAATTAAAACTTAATCACTAAATAAACATGTATAACAATAACCAAAGATAATAAAGAAATATCATTGTTCATTCAGTTTTTAAAATTCCAATGTCGTTTAAAGTTATTTCAAAATTACCCTATTCACAAAATAAAAACCTGTTCGTTTCTTCATGTTATAATATAAAACAAAATGATAAACTTTAAAGAAATAAAATAATTTTGTAATTTAAATTATGGAGTTTAGGTATGACCTTCCCTAATGGTAACTGAATAATAGAAAATATAATTTCTATATAATAGAATATAATATTTTTATCCAATGTCTATTAAATATGGCTTTGTATAAAATTGTTTAACTAGAAGCATCACAAATTTTCTGGCGTTGTGTAACGAATTGTTAGAATCCTGAATCTGAAAAAAAAGGTTATTTAATTAATTTTAAGTAGCACAAAAATAAAAAACAAAAATTGAACAAAAAATATAGTGAAAAAAAAAAGCTAGAAAAGTGTGTAACTACGTTTTAAGAAATTTTATAGTAGAGGCAAAGTATTTCTTAAAATCAGATCAGACTGTTTTGTGACGTTATAAATCAACTGCTCATACTGCCAAATTTGCAGAGATCTCAGATAAATAATTTTTTTGAACATCGTGAAAAGGGGGAAATGATCTATAGACTGTGGAGGAATTTTAAGGATCTATCTAGTAATTTTGCCTATATTTATTTCTATTCTTCTCTGGAGAGCTGTATGTTAGTCGAAGCATAAATTATTAGTGTGTGGATTTGAAGTTTTGCTCCAGTAAGGTTGAAACCGTTTCTTAATTTTTTGTTGCGTAAAATCGGTGGCGTTATGCAATACTATTGAATTTTTTTTACTGTTAAGTTTGGAGGAATAAATTTTTTGTTCAAGTTCAGATTCTTCATAAATATATACCACCCTATATGCTATGAATTCATCTAATACATCGTATTCAGAGATAACAGATATAACCATTTATTGATAAAATATTATACTCACGATACCAAGATTAATTCGACAATCAATATACTCCATTTGTAGGTCCGCGGCGAGGAATTATTGTTGAATTATTTTAGCTTCTTTAATATATGTAAATAATTTTGTAAAAAACGAGAATAATGAAATAGGCATATGACAACAGCGGATATTATACCCTCCTGTGTCCCTTAAAATATGTCTTATTCAGGACCACATGATATTTGTTAGTAGTTACATCTCCTGTTATCTCTGGTCGTATTAGTATTACATCACTTCCAAATAATGTATTATAAAATGTTTCTAATTTCAACTTACTTGTTTCAAGGCTAATTCTGCACATTCCTTAATCTTTCCCTGCGACTGGCCAAAATCCATGGTTAATAATATTTTTACGCATTCCGTATTGCCTCCACTTTGGCCTACTTTAGCAGGAGCATTAGCAAATTTTCTAATCACTTGTGGTTCGCCTTTCATTTCAGGCAATTGAGCCAAAATGTAACCTAAAAGAAGAAGGAAGATACGAGGTTGAGTTGACTTTCTGGAAAAATGCACAAAAATCGGTAGATAATTAAAAGTTTCTTTATTGAGCCAAGTAGTAAAAAAAACAGGAACAAGTTGGGGCCCCGATTTAGATTTAATTATGTATATTTGTTTTTGAGTTTTTTAAAAATACTTGTTTTAACGACTTCTATACACAGTTAAAAAAGGTATCAACTTTTAGGTTCACACTATATAGTAATAACCAAATTTCCGAACGATTAAATTAAAAACAATTACCTGCTAAAGCTCGGCAGAGAAATTTGAATTCCAAAGATACGTTTCCTTGTTTACTAAGCCCTATCGCACTTAGTAAACCTCTACCCCACTTATTTGATCCCTTTTCGTCAGAAATTTGCAATAAAATCTGTGCAAATTTGTGCAAAATGGTGCCGCAAAAAGGCTCATCCTTCTCAGCGTGCTGTAATACCAACATTAAAAATCCACACCATATCAGAGGTACTTTAGATTCTGTAGACTCACTAAAAACAAAGCATATCTGTAAATAAAGACTAGAAAAAAAACAGCTTTTTGCAATGGTTTTTAATTACCATTAGATTTAATTACTATTAATAGAAATTCATAAATATTCTTAGAAATTCATAGAAAATCATAAAAATTCATAGAAATTCATAGAAATTCATAGAAATTCATAGAAATTCATAGAAATTCATAGAAATTCATAGAAATTCATAGAAATTCATAGAAATTCATAGAAATTCATAGAAATTCATAGAAATTCATAGAAATGTATAGAAATTTATAGAAATTCATAGAAATTCATAGAAATTCATAGAAATTCATAGAAATTCATAGAAATTCATAGAAATTCATAGAAATTCATAGAAATTCATAGAAATTCATAGAAATTCATAGAAATTCATAGAAATTCATAGAAATTCATAGAAATTCATAGAAATTCATAGAAATTCATAGAAATTCATAGAAATTCATAGAAATTCATAGAAATTCATAGAAATTCATAGAAATTCATAGAAATTCATAGAAATTAAGTTAAGGATAAAATGTATAATTCTATTTTTAGTTTAGATAAAAGTGCATACCAAATTTTAACATTCACCATCCATTCCAAACACAAGTTTAACAAAATCTCCGTATTATTTTGTTTGGACATCATCTGGACTAAAATGGCGTTCAAGGCTAACAAACAACTTTTATTTAACACGGCCTGCTGCAACTCCGTCTGTTTGGGAATCAATATATTCAACAATTCGCCTATTTCTCTCCAACTAGGCTGAAAATCGTCTGTAACTAAAAAATGTGTCTTTTAAAAGTAGCCCACCCTCTAGATAAATATTATTAACTCATTCGATGAATTAGAAGTGTAAGGTATATTTACCTGTATTTACAAAATAACTATTTATGGTAACTTCCATGAGGCTAGCCAAAATATCGTAATCGGATACAGCTGATCCCAGAGTATTCAGCAATGATCGAATAATCAGTCCATTTCCGGGTTTGTTTTCTATCCATTTAATATAGCAGCCTAACACGATATTTTTGACGTGTTCTATATTTAAGGAACACAATAATTCCTTAAGCAAAACCGTACATTCCTCCTCGGTATTTACCATGACTTCCAGATCGGTTAATTGGCGAGATATTAAAATTGAAATGTCTTGTTCTTTCCGGGATATGTTCGCCTTGTTGCGATTAGCGTAAACGGATAGTAATTTAATATATGTTTTTACGAATATCAGTCTTTTGTTTAGTGTCTCAAGTGACATATTTGGCTGGTCACCATTGCAGTTTGCTACTACTTTAAGAAAACTGAAATAAAAAAGTATTTGATTATTTTTGCAAAATTGTGCAATAAAGTAATCAAATTTTCTTGAAGAAAGAGAAAAATTCGAAATCAACATCACATGTATAATTTTAACAGTCTTACAAAGCTACTAATGTGACTAGCTTGTAAAATACCAAAGGAAGAACTAGCTACAGGCCAAATTGTCTAATAGCTATACTGGGGAAAGTGTTTGAACATCTAATAAAAATAAAATGACAGGTAGAGTTAAAAGGGAAGGCTGATATCTCAGAAGCACAATTTGGATTTAGAACCAATCAAAATGATTGTTTAAGAACTACACCAAACAGATTTATTCGACAGCTTATGAGGAATTCATAACTAAATAAATTAAATACCTAAGGAAAGTAAGAAATTAAATAGTATATGTAATGAGCATAACCCAAAACGAATAATAAATCCATCAATAGATGGCACGGTAAGTCGTTAGCATTGGTACCAAGACTAAAGACAACATGTGTAAGATGTTAAGTAGAATATTACATAACACGTAAGATTTTTATAGATTTTAATAGATTTTTATAGATTTTTATAGATTTTTATAGATTTTTATAGATTTTTATAGATTTTTATAGATTTTTATAGATTTTTATAGATTTTTATAGATTTTTATAGATTTTTATAGATTTTTATAGATTTTTATAGATTTTTATAGATTTTTATAGATTTTTATAGATTTTTATAGATTTTTATAGATTTTTATAGATTTTTATAGATTTTTATAGATTTTTATAGATTTTTATAGATTTTTATAGATTTTTATAGATTTTTAGAGATTTTTATAGATTTTTATAGATTTTTATAGATTTTTATAGATTTTTATAGATTTTTATAGATTTTTATAGATTTTTATAGATTTTTATAGATTTTTATAGATTTTTATAGATTTTTATAGATTTTTATAGATTTTTATAGATTTTTATAGATTTTTATAGATTTTTATAGATTTTTATAGATTTTTATAGATTTTTATAGATTTTTATAGATTTTTATAGATTTTTATAGATTTTTATAGATTTTTATAGATTTTTATAGATTTTTATAGATTTTTATAGATTTTTATAGATTTTTATAGATTTTTATAGATTTTTATAGATTTTTATAGATTTTTATAGATTTTTATAGATTTTTATAGATTTTTATAGATTTTTATAGATTTTTATAGATTTTTATAGATTTTTATAGATTTTTATAGATTTTTATAGATTTTTATAGATTTTTATAGATTTTTATAGATTTTTATAGATTTTTATAGATTTTTATAGATTTTTATAGATTTTTATAGATTTTTATAGATTTTTATAGATTTTTATAGATTTTTATAGATTTTTATAGATTTTTATAGATTTTTATAGATTTTTATAGATTTTTATAGATTTTTATAGATTTTTATAGATTTTTATAGATTTTTATAGATTTTTATAGATTTTTATAGATTTTTATAGATTTTTATAGATTTTTATAGATTTTTATAGATTTTTATAGATTTTTATAGATTTTTATAGATTTTTATAGATTTTTATAGATTTTTATAGATTTTTATAGATTTTTATAGATTTTTATAGATTTTTATAGATTTTTATAGATTTTTATAGATTTTTATAGATTTTTATAGATTTTTATAGATTTTTATAGATTTTTATAGATTTTTATAGATTTTTATAGATTTTTATAGATTTTTATAGATTTTTATAGATTTTTATAGATTTTTATAGATTTTTATAGATTTTTATAGATTTTTATAGATTTTTATAGATTTTTATAGATTTTTATAGATTTTTATAGATTTTTATAGATTTTTATAGATTTTTATAGATTTTTATAGATTTTTATAGATTTTTATAGATTTTTATAGATTTTTATAGATTTTTATAGATTTTTATAGATTTTTATAGATTTTTATAGATTTTTATAGATTTTTATAGATTTTTATAGATTTTTATAGATTTTTATAGATTTTTATAGATTTTTATAGATTTTTATAGATTTTTATAGATTTTTATAGATTTTTATAGATTTTTATAGATTTTTATAGATTTTTATAGATTTTTATAAATTTTTATAAATTTTTATAGATTTTTATAGATTTTTATAGATTTTTATAGATTTTTATAGATTTTTATAGATTTTTGAGAATTGAGATTTTTTATATATTTTTTTATAAATTTTTATACTATATAAATCGAATTCGAGTCACACGATTGTGCATATTTCATGAAATAAATGTTATCACTTTAAATAAAGGAAATCGTTTGAAAGATATTTGAATTAAACCGGTGTTAGGATCCCATCTTTAAAGAGCTCTAATTTCTTTAGCCAAGCATTTTGAGATTTACGTCAAATCGACAAAAATTCTGTCTTCTGTGAAGAGCTTGTGGACTCCCTGTACATTTTATTATATCAAACTATTTATATTAAAACTAGAGGATTTTAGATGTTTTCCGTATATATTATGATTTTATAAATATTTCTACGTTTAGAAAAGTAAAAATTGGACTTACTGTAATATCCTATAATCTAAATCTAAAGGATCATTCTTGAAGATCACAGACGAATCACAGCTCATTACAAGCCAATCTAACACGTACTGGTAGAAAGAAGCATCCAATATGGTCCAATCGAAATTTTCGGCTTGAACCAAAAGCGATTTGGCTTGATCTGATTGATTTTTTCTAACGTTGGGTTCGTTGCAAAGTTTCACCATCAGGTTCAGAAAGCATTGATATACTCTAGTACGTAGTTGTATAGGCGCCGTGTTCAAGCTGTTCAGCCAATTCGTCCACGGTACTAACATGAATATATGTCCCAAGAAAGAGTGACAGTCCGGCAGGTATTGATCTACAACCTAAAATTTTATTATTGCTGCGAATATTGCGTGGAATGAAAGTTCATAGTTCACCTTAAGCATGAACTCAACATCGACTACCGAAGGCCAAAAATTGTGCCATGGAAATGTTAAGAATGTCTGGTGAATTGAAATTAGTATGTGATCTTTGACAGATTTGTGGGCGTAGCAAGTGACATACCATTGCCAAATGTAACTCAGTATACTGCTTGATGCTAAAAAATAATCGTTTAAGTGTGTAAGAACGGTCTGAAAACAGAAAATGATATCGGATTTTTTAGATTTTGAAAACACTTTATAAAATCGTTGATATTAAAGAATTGTTCGAGGGCACTTTCACCTGAAATAATTCGCCTGTTGTTTACTTTTAGCTCTACTCTATATTATATATAAGGTGTCTTAAAAATATTTTCGTTTACTAATCTGTTCGCTGGCGCAATAGGTACATTCCCGAGAAAGAAGGCAGTTGGCAAACGGTCATACTTTTTATTAACGATTTAACAACTTGTTTTAATAACTCCAGTTGCCTCCTATATGCAGATGACCTAAATTTTTTTTCAATCGTCAATGACCTTTCCAACAATCACCTACAATCAGATCTCAGCAATTTGGTTAAATGGTGCAACAATAACTTGCTTAAACTGAATATCGATAAATGTAAAGTCGTAAGGTTCAATAAAACAGTTAATATCATTGTGCATGATTATGTAATTGCGGTTCTGAGCAAACTATAAATGATCTTGGTGTTATTTTTGACAGGGACCTAGATTAGATTAGATTAGAGTGGGGGAACTAGGCGGCGACACGCGGCGACCCGAACTCTGTGACAGGGACCGGACTTTGTTTATTAGCAACTTAATGAACTATTAGGTTTATTTAAAAGGTGTTTAATCGAATTTTGTATTATGAAATCAAATTATCGTGATTTTTTAATATCAAACAGATGCCACGACATTTTATGTAAAGACCTTTTATAGAATATTTCGTTAGCGTTTATTTACTACGGACTTTTCTGCAAGAGATTACAGTAAAATGTTGAAATAGAATATATTGTTAATAGAGCAAAAAATGTTACTCATTGTCTACGGGTATTATAAAAATAGCATGTGCGCAGGCTAATACTGCAAATCTACCCTTATGAGTTGAACATTATATTTTTTCTACGGCTATTACATATTATTAAAAATTAGTCAAAATGAGAAAATGCTGTTTTGTATTGTAACCTCAGAAAAAGTATATTAAGGCTTCTTTCTTTAAGAATATTATTTATTATAAAGGATGAGTCACATAAAACTCTAGAAATGCATATGTCTGAAACCAGATAACATTTTAAAATTTAAATCTATTAAAAGTCATTTGGTCGCTAGGGATGAGTGATTATCGAAATAAATTATCGATAATTGAAAATAATCGATTATTTTCGATCAATAGATTATTTTCAAACAATATATTTTTTGTCATTTCCTTTAAAATCGACTACTTGATTATCTTTGAAAAATCAAAAATAATCGATTAATTAAAAAGCCAATTAACCGATAAATCAGTGTTTACAAAATATAATATAAATAGAATTATTGTTTATTTTAAATAATCGATTATTTTCAAATAAACCATTTTTTTTCGTCCATGGAAACAGATTATTCGATAATCTTTGAAAAATCGAAAATAATCGATTAATCAAAAATAATCAATTAATTAAAAAGTCGATTAACTGATAAATCGATTTAAAAAAAAAACAGAATGATCGATTATTTTAAATAATTGATTATTTTCGATCAATCGATTATTATCAATAATCTATTTTTATTGTATTTCCTTTAAAATCGTTAATTCGATTATCTTTAAAATACCGAAAATAATCGATAATTCCAAAATAATAGCCTAATCGAAAATAATCAATTAATTAAGAAGCCGATTCTATGATAAATCGATTATTACCAATAATCTATTTTATTGTATTTCAAAAATATTCGATTAATTAAAAAGTCGATTAACTGACAAATCGATTTTCAAAAAAAAACAGAATGATCGATTATTTTAAATAATCGATTATTTTCGATCAATCGATTATTATCAATAATCTATTTTTATTGAATTTCCTTTAAAATCGATAATTCGGTTATCTTTGAAATACCAAAAATAATCAATAATTCCAAAATAATCGCCTAATCGAAAATAACCAATTAATTAAGAAGCCGATTCTATGATAAATCGATTTTCCAAAAAATAAAACTAATTATCTATTATTTTCTAATAATCCTTTTTTCATATTTCCTTTGAAATTGATTATTCGATTAACGAAAATAATTGATTATTAAAAAGCTGATTATCCAATAAATCGATAATTTTAAAAAAATAACCAAAATATCGATTATGTAAAATAACCGATTATATTCAATCGATTATTTTCATATAATATCTTTGAACAATCGAAAATAATCAAATAATTAAAAAACCGATTAAACGATAAATCGATAATTTTGAATAAATGTACTTTTTCTGTATTTCCTTTAAAATCGATTAATACATTATCTTAAAAAAAAACGAAAATAATTTATTAAAAACAGCGGATAAATCGATTTTCATTAAAAAATATCAGAATTATCGATAAATCGATTATTTTTGTAACCCCTATCGGTCGCTTGCTTTTATCTGAGCATTTAGCTCCAAAATTTAGAGATTCGGATTTTTTGATCCAGTTATCATTGAAATCGCATTTGCTTGTATAATAAATAAATATTGCTAAATTTTGGATTTTTTTTAGTAAACGAAAATTATGTTCGAGTTGTTTAGGGGTTTGTAATGTAACATTTTATTAACGTGACTAAGGGTCGATTCCACCGTTGTGTTAAACGAAGTTTAAAATGACATTTTTACATTAACACTGTCATTTTAATCTCCGTTTAACACAACGGTGGAATCGGACCTAACTCCTGTAACTTTAGTATTTTTTTTTTTTTGTTTATACTAGATTTCTTTGTTTTAAGACGGAAAATTCAATGTCACTTTCGATTTGACCGCAAATAAGATGAACCTTGAAATTTTAAGTAGGTCATTCTGTATTTCATCTAATATTCTTATAAAAATACCTTATAAAAATAAAATTTAGCTAGCAACTATGATTCTTTACCTCTTATTTATCTACCAAAAAGGGCTAAAAACTACCTTTAGAAAACATTCTTATAAAACTACTTTTTAAATACAAAATTTCGTTAGCAATAATGCCTATTTACTATTTATTTAAATTAAATGTTCAAAATTTTACCCTTTTGTAAATTTATGTAAGTATTATGAAATCTGATGCTTAATATTTATTGAAACCCCTTAATGCGGATCTGAAGTATTCAGCCCAGAGAATCATGGCGCTTTATGTCAAAACGTTAATAAATATTTACCGCTGAAAACGAATATATTCATAACAGTAGTACTTGTATTATAAGTACATACAATTTTTCAAGATACATCGTGACATTTTGAACTTGAAATTGAATAACTAGAACACTTTAAATTGCTAAAATACCAACAAATAAATCAAAAAAGAGCTGTCAATGGTGATTAAACTCAGGTGGAGGTGTGATCGCTGAATGGAAATCGGAGCAATTCGGGTGGCGTCGTGCAACAATGATTTTCAATTGGTGGGTTACTTTGGCTTAAAATAGACAGCATGCGCAGTGTGCAATGTTACATCTTCGGTCTCTTTAATCTAAGGATTAGATTTAATTAGGACTATGGGCCATGTGGCCTCCCCCACCTCGACCTTTTCAGATCTATTGTGGATATCCTTTAATCATTGTTTAGAGTACCTTGTCTAATGCGGTCTTTTGTAGTAGACTCCATAGACTGGGAAGTAGTTCTCCGGTATAGCTAGTTGCCCTTGGTTTTTCTTCTCCAAGTGTAAGGAATCTCAGTCTTACTAGACCTTCGCAGTAGCACAATACGTGTTCTGCCGTTTCCTCTTCTTCTCAACAGAATCGGCACAAGGCCTCTTCTGTCAGACCGATATTGAACATATGTTTGTTAAGCCTACAATGCCCTGTTAATAGACCTACTAGTATTCTAGTATTTTTCCTATTAAGGCTTAGTAGATGCTCGGTGAGTTTAGACGATGGTCCTTTTAAGAACTTTTTGGCCTGTCTCTGTCCTGGTGAGTTTTCCCACCACTCCTGAGATTTTTTAAACATCCACTGCTTTGTGCATGTTCTGATAGTTGTTTTTGTTACACCACAGAAGGGTTCTGGGCCAATAAGAGCATTTGCTTAAACTGAATATCGATAAATGTAAAGTCGTAAGGTTCAATAAAACAGTTAAAATCATTGTGCATGATTATGTAATTGCGGTTCTGAGCAAACGATAAATGATCTTGGTGTGATTTTTGACAGGGACCTATCATTTATTCCTCATTTGGAAGAAATTGCAAATAGAGCTTTTCGACTGCTGGGCTTTGTCAAACGGAATACCAAGCACATTTGTGACACGGCAGCTCTGAAGAGTATCTACAACTGCTTAGTTAGAAGCATTTTAAAATATTGCTCAGTGATTTGGGCACCTAACTACAATTGTCATATTGATAAATTAGAAAGAGTGCAAAATAAATTTTCAAAGTATCTACTATATAAACATAGGCTTCCGTCGCAAAATATAGATTACCAAACCAGAATTCTGTTGTGTGGATTTAAGAGTTTGGAATGCAGACGTGGAGAAGCATCGCTTGTTATCCTGTATAAGTTATTGAACGGTTTGATTGATAGTGACAGCCTTGTTCCTGCCATACTTACTAGGCAGATTAAACTATTTTATGTAAATACTCATGAAACTAACTATGGACAGAATTTATTTGTAGACAGACTGATGTCCAATTACAATACTTTTTAAATGATGACATTTTTAATACAGGTTTGTTTTCTTTAAAGCGTCAACTTTCATTACACTATTGACTTCTTTTTTATACTGTGACAATTTTATTATTATTTTTTATTTTATTTTAAGTAATATTTTAAATATACCATTTAGAACTTTATGTATCTGTAGTGTACTGTAAACAAATAAATACCGCAAACGCGGAAGGTTCGAATCCTTCAGTTTTTTCAATTTTCAAATAAATTTGTTATCACATATGGAACGATCAAAAATATTTTTCATTATCTCGTAATTTGGGGAAAATTATTTGAAAATTTCCAAAGAATTTATATAAAATACTAAAATTTGCACTAATCGAATTGTCAATAAATTAGAAGATTCAAACCTGGAAGGGTGTGAAGAACAAACGATACACATTCCCTGAAAGCACACAAAACTTTCTGGGCAAACACCGTATCGGCAGGTATCCAAGGCAGCAGAACCGATCTGTCGTCAGCAAGTTGTTGAATCCAAGAAGCCATGTTTTCTTTAAGATTTTGCATGGAATATGGTACTATCCAAGGAGCGAACATGTCTCTTAAATATGGCCAAATTTTTTCGCATAATTTGTCACCCAGTAATCCTAAAATTATTACAAAATAATGGAAACAAAAACAAAATATTTTTCCACCTAATCTTTTGGTATTAATACCTTCAAAAATTATGTTGCATACAAAATTATTTTTTCAGTAATAATGTATAAACATTTCGGTAAGTTCTCTTATCTATTTTTTTTTTGTCGTTCACGAAACTGATTTTTTTTTAATTACAAAAAATAGATACTTTATTTGGTTAGTATACTCGCATTCTTATCTCACAGAATTGAAGTAAAAAGAATTCACTTACCTTGGTGAGTATTTAGCATGCTGACTATAATCCCATGACCCACTATGCCAAGGAACAGCATGTAAACATCCATATAGGTCCGGCATTTCGGATATAAACCGTAAATTCCATACTGCAAACGTTCCTGGGTAAAATGTCTAGCTAGTAGCTCTGCTGTCTCTAATAATTCCTGATGTTGTAATATACTTTGATATTGTGCATATTGTCTAAGTTGGTCTCTAAAATTAATGTAAACTTGTGAGTCAAGAAAATAAAATGTAATGTAGGTAAATACTTAGGGTTGGATGAATAAAATATTAGATAAAAACTTTACCTCAAACTTTTAATGTAATCTACCCAAAAAAATAATTCTATATATTATTCGAATTTGATAAACTTACCTTATGGGCGATTTAAGATTCAAAACAACAGGTTGTGCTAGAAAATTAAGAATATCCATCCATACAGCTTCCGGAAGCAAATTTGTTTCGGGATTCCCGCTGCTAGCTTTTAACAGTAAAACTAAAACTTCTCCATAATGTTCAGGAAATTGATATTCGAAAATAATCAACAAATGTCTGCGATAAAGGCCGTGCAATGTTAAAGCTTCTATTGGAGGATCGAATCCCAAAGTGGTTAAGGCTTGTATTATGAGCTGTATCAATTGAGATCGTTGACTTATCTTTGGGTTTTTAACTTTTAGCCAGTTCTCTATCTCGAACTAAAATTTAAAAAATATACATATATACCTTAAAGGTAAAGAATTGTATCTCCAGTTTTGTATTAAGTGGAGTGCATTCATTAAAAGTAAAAGAGGTTTCGAATTCGAGAAAAGAATTAATGTTAATAATAATTTTATTTTCTAGATTTCATTTCCAAGTTGAATTCCTATCTAAAATTAGTCATGAGCATAAAAAACTGTAAATAGATCATATAACATTTCAAAATAACACCGATAACGCTTCAACTGTTGCATTAAATTCAATATGACTTGGCTGAGACCAGCAGGCCGTTATATTTCAAGTATTTACATGTTAGTCTGATTCTTATTTTAGTTTTAGTAGAGACTTAACCGGAATGTACTTCTCTGAATGACTTGACTGGGCTAGTTATTACATGTTAATGGTGTTTATTTTGCATCGATTGTTTCGTTTGGTTAACATTCCTCACAAAATAAAAACAAACAAATCTAACTGCGAATAAAAGCGCTTCTATCTATACCTCATTGTAAACTGCAATAATTATAACATACCTTTGAGAGTAGTGCAAAAGCCACGTCGTATTTTTGACCAATTTCCTTGCAAATTGTCGAATACATTAAAAGCAAATTGGCAGTACCCACGTTACAAGGTGAAAAATGCGGAGCCAAATATTCTCCCAGATTCGAATCTTGTAGAATTTTCTTCAATAATCTCGGCATTTCGTATTCCACACCGCAAATATGCGATTGTCCCAGTCGTTCTAAGCACATTGAAAATAAAGTTTTCGTAGGTGGATAGGAATTAAGTTCATCGTTTAATAGGGATAAAATGTTGTAAAATAATTCTACGCCAAGTTCGGATGTCGCTGGGTTACAGTGGAGCTGAGACTGGAGGGTTCTGGAATAAAAATCACCTGAAATGAATCAAAACTACCACCGATTTAGATAAATAATTTTAAATAAAAAAATGTACCTTATTGTTTTTTGTATTGTCACTGAGGCAGAACACAAATTTATCGATGATAACTGCAAAGCATTTGCCAAAAGCGACTCGTAAGTGTTTCTATTTGACTGTATTTGATGATCTATTCTTTCATTAATTCTAGCTTCCTAAAACACAATAGAATAAAAATTATTGTAAAGAACTATCCATTCACTTTTTATTTAACATCTAGAAGGTTTTGAATTTTTTTCTTTTCGAAATTGGGATCTTAAGTTCGGATTAAACTTAAAACTTGTTTGTAAATAACTTGGTACTACCAATGAACCATTTCAAATAAAAATAATCCAATATTTTTAAGGGAACGCTTATTATCAATATCAAACATGGCCAGTTTTTTTTTTTTTTTTTGAATGATGTAAATAATAAAAAACATAAATCTCCTTGCCTGCATTTCCAAAATAATTTCAGCCGCTCCTCCGCAATAACAAGTCTGATTTTTTCCTTTGCACGGTACTTTTTTCTTGACACGATTCAGTACCGACCTGTACTGCTGCGGTACCAACTCTTTATAAGCGCTATCCAACGCCTTCTGTTCCGACAACTTCAAGGCATGGTTGTGCGCGCATTGCTTCAAAGTTTTAAAACTTTGTTCTAACGATTTAAACATTTCATCCTTGTTTCCGAATTCTATGTTCGGGATTACCGGAGCGTATAGTGTGATAGAAGGAGCTGTTTTAGGTTTGTCATATGAGGAAAGGCGTCTAAAGATGCGTTCTATGGGATCGTCGCTTTCGACACGACTTCCGGCGTTTAGTAAGGGTTTGTTGACGTTCGTTTTTTCCCTGAAATTGTTAACTCTCCAGATACGGATGTGGGATTGTTGTTCTTGTTTGAGTTTTTCTGAATCTATAAATACAATCCAAGGTATCTGAAAGAATGATAAATTTGGTATTTTATGAGGTAATTAAGATGGTAAAATGATAAAAATATAATGCAGAAAGCTTGCATTTTCCTTGTGGAAAAATAGTGAACATTTTCAAATTTCTGTAAAAAATTAACCACCAGTAATTGTAAATTTTTAAAAATGCCACACTTCTTAACAATGAATTTTGATTATAGGCCTAAGTAGTAGGAAAACGTAAGCGCATAATGTGCAACTTAATGAGCTACTCCCCTGTATGCGCATAATGTGCGCCATATGAGGTATTTGGCTGATGACCCCAGTTAATGACCCTGTCTAGACATTTAATGCACATTCCAACATCCTTGTTATTCATATAACCATGCACTGCTTGAGAATCACTAATAAAATCATTAGCATATTAACCTAAGAAATATGTATGAAAGAAAATATAGATTTATGCTCCTGAAACAAGCTATCAATTATTCTTAAAATAAAATCCAACTACCATAATGTATATATGAGATTCTTAAAAAATATGGTCACATAAAGTATACCATATAAGGTATGCATTATTATTATCATCAATAGAATATCTCAAGCTGAAAATATGGTAGTTGGATTTTATTTTAAGGACGGAGTCTCCAAAGGATTTGCGGTCGAATTCTGTACTGCAGGACTGCCTAACTAGTAGTGCCTGTAGTAAATATTTGGTAAAATAATCTACTCGCCAAAATAATTTATTGATCCACTGAATTTGTTATTTGCTACTCATGGAGTTCTTGGCGTAGAATAATTTCTATCTGGATACGGAAACGAGGTAACATCAATATTTTAGTGTCACAAAAAATAATATAGCTATATTATTTATTTTATTTAAATAGTAATTACAAAGCAATAAGTAATTACATAATTATTTATTTTTTAATTTTTTTAAAAACGAGTTTTTTATTTGTATTTATTTATTAATTCTATATACCTACATACTGATTGCTAGATCCATGTTTTCAAAAAAACATAAATTTCATTTTTTAAAATACGGAGAAAATTTATAATCACCTATAATTAAATGACCGATTTTTGCTTTAGCTGAAAACGAAATATATTTAGATTTATAAAAATGATGTATACAAATTAATACCATTAATAAAGGAACTGGCAGAGCTTGGAACTTTGGATTCGACGATTCGGGTTTAAATCCCATAGTATTTAATGGCGTATATCGTTAACACCTGTGGAAATAAATATTTACCTCTTATATTGATTTTAAAAGAATTTTTAACTCCATAAGATAGAAAAACAAATTGCTCTCCTTTTCATTGTTTTATAATATAAGAAATATAAGATACAAATTTAAAAAATACTGGGATTACATTAAAATGATTGCACTTTTCCTAAGAAGGTATTAAGTACCTAATAACGTCTTCGATTCCACTGTCCTGCCTGCGTGGAGTGCACATAAAAGATGAGCGATATATCGATACCGGTTACATTTCAGATTGAAAAGTAACTGGTATTGACATATCTCCCACCTTTCGTATGCATTCAGTGCAAGCCATGCACTAGATTTGAAGACGCTATAAGTCTAGACAATTTATTATTATAAGACTTAGAGGATCAAAGAAGTAGTTATTTGATTTTAAAATTTATAATGTTCATAGATTAAGGTTGTAAATCTTATTAAAGTATTAAGAAATAAAAATAATTTAATTTTGACTACCTGCATTCTAAGAAAAGTGAGTTTCATTCTCATTAGAAAAAATAATTATGAACATCACAGTAACAAAAGATTACATTTTTAATATTTTGATTTATTTCCATTAGGTTGAAAGGTAGTAGGGGGAGTTGTATAAAAAAACGATTTGGTTCTTGAATATTTCATATTCATATTCAATTTTTCCGTGTAGAGGTATGTACATATTTTAATATCTGTTAAACTAGAGAAATTTGCGATGTTAACAACGATATTAACAAACATTCCGAATCCACATCATCAGGAGCTCACCACCATGCATACGCAGCATTAAATTTACTTTTAACAAAACCACACCTTTTTTAGCCAATGAAACAACCAACAAAACAGAATCATTTATTGCTTGTTTCAATATGGGAAAACGATTAAATCTCATTCAAAGGAACGGTTTCCAAAGTAGGTTTGTTTTGAGCGCTCTTCGTTACAATAATGGAGTTAATTGGCACATCAAAATTTGGAAGCAATGCTATAATAGAGAAACACCCCATTTTCTAAGAAAATGGGTAAATAATGAGGAGCGTGACAAAATTAAAATAAAACCTACTGTTACAAAAAGTAAGGTTATAAAAAACTAAAACCATCAGAAACAACGGAGTACGGATCTAATATTGCTGAGGTAGACATCAGTGATAAATGTCTTGAAGAAGTTAATAAATTAATTGACCGACTAAAGGTATTAACATGAATATTACGTTTTTACTTTTTACATGATTTTATATTTAAATATTTTTAGGTGACGAGTAAGCAACAACAACAAATATCAGAAGAAACTATAGTACAGTTCAGCAACCCAAGATACTTGGAGGAAAAAAGATTTCGACTAACGACTTCTCATTTTGGGGAAGTTGCCAAAAGAAGGGCCCGTACTCCATGCGATTGTTTGGTAAAAAAATCTTGACAGACAAACAAGGAATAACTACCCCAGCAATTGAGTACGGCATACAAAACGAAGGCGTGGCTATAAACAAATTTCAAGAAGAAACTGGTAAAACAGTTATATCATCAGGGTTATTTGTTGATGTGCAATATGGGTTCCTAGGTGCATCACCTGATGGTAAGCGATAATTATTTACATATAACAATAGTTTAATAACTTTTCTATTTTTTAGGTTTTCATTAATTCTGATGAACTTGTCGAGGTTAAATGATTTTTAAAAGTAGCCACATCTAATCTTTCATTGAGAGTCCGTAGAGAAAAAAATGGTTCGCTGTTTAAGAATTGAAAATGGTGAAATTCAATTATAGGAAAACCACAATTACTATTATCAGGTGAGATTTCTGACTGCATTTCAAAGTAATTTAATGAAAGCTATATTTTCTAACAAATTAAAAATTATTATGTTTTTAGATTCAAGGACAACTCGGTATCTCACGAAGAAGAATGTGCCATTTTATATTTATGTAGAAGATGAGAATCCCCTTTTTATTAAAAAAAAAAATGTTTTGATGATTTTTTTTTAAATCTAATGGAGAAACTGAGAGTTTTTTATGAGGATTGTATGGGCCCGAAAATAATTTTGAATAGAAGAGGTAGAAAATTAAAGTACAGAGATCCGCCGAAGAGTAAATAAATTTTGTATTATCTTTTTAAAATTAATAAAAATGTTTTTGTTTTATGTTTTTTGATTTTTGATTTTATTTAATTTACTTATACAAAATTTCGTAAAATAAAGGTACCTAGCTAATCTGCTAATATTGTATATCTAATTTATTTTGATTTGATTTGAAATTCTATACTCATTAAAACTAAAAAGTTTTATTAAAGGTGTATATTTATAAAGGTTTTATTTATTTTCAACACTTTGAAATTTTAACACATTCAATTATGAAGTTACCTACGTTAAGATTATCTTTTTCTATATCGTTGATGTGAATTTTTGTTATTTACTCATACACTATCCATTTTGGAATAGGAAAGTAAAAAAATAATAGGTGTATAAACTATCCTATCGGGATTATTTTTTTAAAAGCAAGTGATCTAATTTATAGGTGTTTCTATTTTATCTCCATTATAATATCTATATACCACAGTAACGAAAATGAATAGAATGACTAATGCATTAACTCTCCGTCGATACCGAATCTTAACTACTATCGCTGTTGTATCTGCTTATAATAGTAAGTCTATTCGTTTTCGATACTGTAATATAAACTACTTTAAAGTTAAAATATTCAAAAATTAAAAAAGCTTACATCGTACTTATTATTAAAATTTAATTTATTTTTAAAACCCTCGTATCTAAAACCAGCTGCTCATTTTATTAACTCGTTTTAGTGTAATTATTTTTTTTTAAATATTACAATATATTTAAAAAAAGAAAACATTTGATGTTATTAAATTTTAATTCGTTTTTATGATGTAAAAGCATAAACGAAACGTAATACTTTTCGATCCATCTATGGAAGCAGGGCTGAACTAAATATTGATTATTTTTGGAAAGTAAGGACGCCTTTTTTAGTCCAAAATTTTTTAATAATGGATTATACATAAAATGCAGCCCAATTTTCATTTATAAGTATTTCGGAGGTGTTCTGTTCCTATACACTTATATATTTTGTTTTCTATTATTTTTATATACATATGTATTTATTTTTATTTGGGTATATATTATTTAATTTTGTTTATGGCCGCTTTGCGTTTGTTAATATTAATATTTCATAATTTTTATATTTAATTACGATAAAGGTTTACTTGATTCATTTTTCTCCATTTCCCCCTATTCCAATACTCAACCGTCCTATTTCTATACTTTGGACCTTTTTTTGTCATTCACCGATTTGAAAGTCTGTCGAACTTCGACACACAACGAAAACGAACGCTATTGTGTTAAATTGTAGACTATACAGTTTAAAATTATTGATCCCAACTGGCAAAATTTTGTGAACCTGTTAATACGGCTTTTATTTACCTCGCATTGATTTCAAGGGAAGTTTCATCCCCAGGATATAAGGAAGACGATTGCCCTTCCTTCCTATCCGGTAAGTTTAAGTAAACCTTTAATTTGTTCATTTACTTCTTTTTTATTTATTATTAAAATAATTAAATCAACACTAAAAGATGAAACTCAGCGCCCCTATCATTACAGTCCGGAACTACTGAGAAAATAAATATATAATTTTGGATATATAATATTCATTAAATTTTAGTATAACCTTTTCAGAAGCTAGTTCCGAAACATTGAGCATTTTCGTATTTTCCGATTGAACGATTTGATAGAAAAATGTTTAACTTAGGTGGTTTAAGGTTTCATTTTCAGAAAATTTATTGAATTTGTAGTTTATTCTTACAATAAAAAAGATCTAAAAATAGGCCATTTTGTACTACACGTTTTTAATTAAAAACAATTAATTTAAAAAAAATCAATGCTTGAACCACCTAAGTTGGACCTTTATTTACAATTAAAAATATAGTACGATATACGGTATAATTACGGAAATAGTTACAATTAACTTTTGGTCTGCAGACGCCATTCTAATGCACAAAGATACTCTGTCCTTAAGAATAATTAATAGCTTGTTTCAGGAGCATAAATCTATATTTTCTTTCATACATATTTCTTAGGTTAGTATGCTAATGATTTTATTAGTACTTCTCAACCAGTGCATGGGTATATGATAATTTTTCAATAACAAGGATGTTGGAATGTGCTTTAAATGTCTAGACAGAGTCATTAACTGAGGTCGTCAGCCAAATACCTCATTATGGCGCACATTATGCGCATACAGGGGGTAGCTCATTAAGTTGCACATTATGCATATACGTCTCCCTACTACTGGCCTAATTAATTTTCATCTGCTAACTGTAATTCAAAAATTAGCCTTAGACACATGTTATCGAAAGAGGTCTGCAAAATAAAGTGGAAATAGTTAACATTCGTTATTAAATGTTTCTTCTGCCAACCAATAAAATATTTCATCATGCATCTATTGGAAATTGAAAAAAAAGAGCAATAAATGCATTGAAAGAAAAATTAAATCTGTACATACGTAATAGAAAATTGATCAGTTAACATTTACTTACATTTTCACCTTGCATTATGTGAACTAAATAACCAGGTTCATATTGAGGAGGTAAACTCTTCAACAAAATATTATTTTCTTGCAACCTGGGCTCCTCTAACCATAAAGAAAAAGCTTTAAATATTCTTTCACAAGATTTATAGAAAGGTTTCTTGGATAGTTCTTTATTTTCTTCATCTTTCAAATCGATTTTGGCCCTAAAATATGCAATAAAATACTGAATAACTGTATTCACTCTACTTGTAGGTCGAAGCGAAAAATTCTGAATACAATTTGAGAATCTAAATCTAAGATATGATACTGTAAACTTACCGGAAATAATCCACAGATTCCTGCAGCCTCCTTTTAATTCTTTTGAAAAACGTGAAATTAACCAATCCATCAAAAAATTTATCTCCCACGCAAGATTTTTCTTCGATACTAGGATTCGGAATTCGTGCTAGGTACAGATTAAAAAATTTCTGCCAGAGAAGGGGTAAGAGGGGATTATCGAGGGGCGTATCTAACGCTTGTTGCGCCCATCGGTATATACAAAGGTAACTCGAAGTGAAAGAAGGTACTTTTAAAGAGCTTGAAGCTTTCTAAAATCAAAATGTATGTTTTTAAGATGAAATAGTTTAGAAATAAATGCAAAAAATACAGATAAATTAATATGTTGTTATCTCAAAATTAAATAATAAGATTGCTCCATTGTCTTTGACAGTTATTATTGGTGCATACTATTTAATAAATAAATAAATAAATGTTAAAATTTGTTTAACTTTTAGATTATAGTAAAAAAACCTACTTTTATTGCTTGGTCTACACTAACTTTCCCTTTCTGTTTGCTAAGCTGAATCAAAACTTCGTTCCAAATACCAGAACGATGTTCGCGTTCTTCATGTTCAACAGATATAACGATGTAAGCCAACCAAGTGTAAGTAGATAAAGAATTCGAAATTAAACTTCCATTCGTATTGTTACTAGATACCCACTTGAACAAAGAACTGATTGTGCCCGAACTTTCTTGTGGAGTACCAACCTGAAATTAAAACAATACAAAATTAATGGTTTAAAATTTCCGGTTAAAATAAAATAATATCGCTACCTTGAAAGAAAACTGGCGCAACTCAAAAATGTTTGTTTTCTACTTTTTGCATATATATACAACCAGAAACTAATGAATTTTAATGTGAAAGAGTGTCATAAAGGTAACTGACAGTTCCATCCACTAGATAGCAGTTATGTCAGTTTTGAAATCTGTAAACAAACTCCCTTGGCGGCAAAACTGTTACACACTCATTTTGAATAGTGCAGGTTAATAATTATTCAAAACTGTCACATTTCAAAAATTGCAAAGTTTTCAGATTATTTAACCATCATATTTAGACTTACACCAGTTTTCTCTAAAAATAAGTCAACATTTATGTATTATAAATAATGTATTATCTTAAAATATGTCAGTTTTGTTTAAAAAATATTTTTGATTTTTGTATAATAATAGTTTAGATGTTTTATTTTGACTTGCGTCATTATTTTTCATAATTATTAATAAATATTTTTACGTTTTTATATCATATTTATACTTGTGCCGCTACTGACTAAAATAATTTAATCTAGTATTTTTTTTTCATTATAACACTAAAAGAATTTATTTTTCAGATATTTCTAAATTCATTGAGTTTGAGGTAGAGCGACTAATCCTTGTAATATATAAAAATACTTACTTGTGACTGCTCCCGTAAAATATCATAAATAGTATCAACAGCATCAGTATGTTGGAAAGCTGTGCGAATAATAACATCCAGGAGATACATGATACCCATATCCTTATTCCAACCAGGTATAGAAACCAACGAATTGGTCCATAATCTAACTAAACAACGAGGGCTATCGAGATTGTAATAATTATAATTCACAATTTGAGTCTCGATCATGTTCCCGAATTGTTGAAGAACTGTATTCTGGGCATAAACTAAACTTTTAGCCATGGATATGTAGCCTCTGTCGGCGTTTAGTAGGTTCATTAAAATGTCTTGGAATTTTTCCAAATTAATTATACATTCTTGCGAATCGATAAATAAAGGCACTATTAAGTAAAGTATGAAAAGTACCGCTTCGTGCTTTTGTTGGGTTTGCAGGTACAGTAATTGTGAGAGACCCTTGCTACAAATTAGTGGCACTAAATGTCCCCAAGAGGTCATTAAAAGTGTTACGAAGATGGCTAAGCAGTTTTGTTCTCTAATACCTGTAAAAAAAATAGTAATAATTTAATATAAATATAATTAAAGATATAGAAAATACAAATGTTGAGTATTAAATGTATATAAACTTGACAAAATACAAAGGTATGCAAAATTCCACAATATGCCGAAAAGGTATAAGATTTGACAAAAATACATAATATGTGTTAAATTTTACAAATTTTTGTATCATACGCGACAAAAAAGGTACCAATTGTGAACCTATAAAGGTATGAAATTCGACAAAATAGTTTTATTAAATTTAACAAAAATATATTAAATTTGACAAAAATTTTGTATTATATGCAACAAAAAACAAAGGTACCGATTGTGAGTACCATTTATAAACAAAGTTATGAAATTTGACACAAAATATATTAGATATGCATTAAGTTCGACCAAAAAAAAGAAGGTTACCCATTATGAGTACCTATTTAACAAAAAAATGTACAAATGCTATAAATTCGACAAAAAACAAAGGTACCAATTGTAAATGCCTATAAAAGTATGTAATTCAACGACCAAAGCAAAGATACTCTAGTATTCCTTTACTGTTCTCTTGTTAGACCCCACAATAAATACATTTCCTCTGTAAGTCCTTTTTACACATACCAAATACATATTATTGAAGAAGAACAAAGGAAATTATTAAGATCTTGGCTTTTTATATGAAAACTTTAATATTTACCTTTCAGCAAAATATCATAACGTTCAAGCTCCTGTATTCTACCAATTTCTTTAAAGGCTTTGTCACTAATATGCAATTTCAATCTTAAAATCGTTTGCCAAGCCCAATTTTCGATTCCCGGTTCTTGATAGGCACTTTGAACTACCAAAATGGCAACGTCGCAATGAATCTCGTAAGGAATTTCATCCCAGTTCAATCTCGAAAGTATCATCCGTGAAAGTTTGCTTTCGTAACTGGTTAGAGGATTGTTTAATAACAATCTAAAAAAAATTAATATAATATTCACCAAGCATCTTCAGTGCTGTGGTTTATATGCTATTTTATGCACTTTAGAAAAAGAAAAATACAAAAAAATATAATAAGTACTCTAATAACAAAGCAAGCAAGGTTGTTATAGTATTGACGTATTTTGTACTGTATTTTTGGTTGTATGGTAAGTATAAGACTAAGTATAAGTATATTATAATTCCAAAGTATATTGTACTTTTAATCCCTAGAAATAAAAACTACATTTTTAATCTCTAAGGAGTACAAATCCCATTTTAATCGCTGAAAAAGTATACTATCAGTCCCTAAAGTGCATAAAACAGTAATACCGCTAAAAATTACATCAATGCTTTCAGGTGGATTAAATTTATTTACAAAAAGAAATTTTTAGTGCAAACCTTGAAATTACTTCCAGATCGACATCGGTAATTTTCCATATCGACAAAGGTAATTCCTCATAGAGATAGAGAGACAACGATCCGATTTTATCTATATTGTCTTTGACTTCTTTTAGAATATTTGAGAGTAAATGGGGATATTTAGATGTAATATGAGTTAATAGTATTCTAGCTGATTTGGAGCATGATTCTTGAGTTGTTGTACTTATGAATCCCACCTAAATAACATAAATAATAAGATATTTCACAAATTAGTTCATACAATTTAAGCATTACACTTATACACCGTGAGAAATGACTATAACACCGAATGGCCACAAGAAGTAAAGTGACTCAATTTCAGTAACTCTGTAAGCTGTGAAAGTTTGTGCTCGAGCCACATTTTTTACTAATGACTACGGTGTGATCGTGGAGGAAGGATAGTGATAAGTTTAATTTTTGATGTCTACGATTAAAGCAGTTCGATAAACAAAACTTTTATATGACATATAAAAATCAAATTAAAATTGCAGATTTGGGACGAAATTGTGAAAGAAATGTGTCTTTTTTGTAACTGCTTTTGGAAAGCCTTTTATAAAATAATATTGCATTTATTTGGTCTTTGAAATCTGATTCTGAACTTAGTATAGATTAAATATACACTGCAGTCCTATATACTTGGTCTAAAACAGTTTTTAATATATAAATTTACCTGTAATAAATCTAAAGTTGATGAGTATACAAATTCCATCTCCATTTCACCACGAGCCAGAGCCATATTAGCGAAAGTATTTAACAAATAATAAACTTCTGCATCTTCTAAATTTGCCAATTTGTCTTCGAATTGTTCACGTAATTCGTTTCCCCAAATTTTCTCACTGTAGTTGTCCATTACTAGAGGATTCAATATGTCTTTAGCTTGATTATCGGTGCTGTGTAGAAAATAGAAAATTTTCCATAAAACTCTTATCGATACCATGTTGTAAGGAATCACGGCCAAAAACTGCCAAGCACCCAATTTTTGAGATGAATATAAATAGTAGATTGCTCTAAGAAAAAATGCGTCGTATTCTACTTGAAGACGTTGCAACATTGCCTTATCTTCTATTCTCTGTACCTACAACATGTGTTAAACTTGTAATTATAATTACAGGATAAATTCCTGACCGTAATAGATTTTATTAGAAATAAATTAAAGTTCTTTGGTTATATCAGTCACTAAAAAGTAATAAAAATACCTTTAGAAACTGCTCCCATTGATCAGTTGCGTACTGTGCCACGTGACGTATGAATCGACTGAGTCTCTTTGAAAATTGATTATATCTAGGTTGGTCGTAAGTCTGGATCCCCTTATATAATATTTTAAGTACAACTGTAGAAAAGGCGAAGTATCTTAAGATGTGGTGTTCTGTTATAGCCTCCACATCATATACATCCTGAAAATTGAAAGTCACAATTTTTTAATAGTCCATAGGAAACTTTATCATAAAGTGGGTAATAGACAGTCTCTATCGCTCACCAAGTGAAAGTCATGTTACATTCTTAGAACATTAATCAATTGGAAAATATTTATGAATAAATGTTTTGTAAATATTATTTATCTGATGAATTTTATGTCAAAAAGATTAAAGACCTTTTTAATACATATGATATATCTAAATACTTTTACAATAATTACCAATAGCAGTAAAACCTTAATTAATAATACTAATAATAAACGTCTTTATTTTAATAAGCCTTGGCGGAATCCAGCATAGCTGTTCCATTCAACTGAGTACCAAATACAAACATTTCACATAATTTTTACAAATATACATTGTTATTTAGATTTAAATTATTTAATATACATTTTATATAGACACATGCAATAAGAAAATTAACAATACATAAACACAAACTTTACAACAAAAGAAATTTTTTCAGTAATTTCTAGAGATTGACTATGTGTTATTTAGAAAAGTTTTTCATATACCACCAACTGTCTATGTAAGTTGGCAGCATATGCATAACTTTATTTTTAATATTAGAAAAAAGTTATTCTTCATAAAAAAATGTACATGGTCTAAAACCTACAATGCAACCATCTGATATCAAATTTTATCAGTGAAAAAAATGAAAATATATTTATTAAAATAGGTAACCCTAATATACAAACAAATTTTTTTTGTTACAAAACAACTCAAATTCAAAATACATAATGCGGAAAAAAATTACAATTTATGACTAAACAAATCAGAAAAACAATTAAAAGTCCAAAATAAAAAAATATATATATAAAACAAATACAAAATATACATATTAATACAACCAAATAAAATTTTTTTAAAAGAGATTTGCACATTTAATCTACTTTACACTAATTTCATCAATCATGAACATGTTTCATCAATTTCTTTTTAAAAACTGTTACTGACGAACTAGCTTTAATATCAAACGGCAATTTATTGTAATGGTCAAAGCATTTAAAAATAAGGAATTCATTGATGTTCGCTTATTTGTTCTAACTACGTGCAAGTTACTGTTATTTCTGGCAGTAGAGTAGTTATGAATATGATTGTTAAAATTAATATATTCTCGAAAATAAGGTGGGGCCAAACCATTTAATATTTTATATACAAACACCATAGTCAAATAGTATGATCTCTGATAAACTGAAATCCATTGCAGTGATCTATGCATGGTAGATATAGGAGTATATTTGCTACACCTCAATATAATCCTCATACCACGATTTTGCAGTTTTTGTAACTGTGTCGTTTGGTTTAAGTTGAAAAGGAAGATAACCGATGAAAAATAATCAAAATGTGGTTGAATAATTCAGCGATAAACTGTAATTTTAGTTTCAGCTGATAGGTTTTTTTTTTATATTCTTGCAAAGAAGTAAAGTTTCTTCGGTATTTTTTTTTAAATATAATTAAAATGTTCACTAAACAATAAAAAATTATCAAGTTGAAAGCCAAGGTATTTAGTAGATGTTACAATATCAATTTTCTCATCGTTAATTGTAAGATTAATTGCATTTAAGTCTATATTGGTATATTTATATTTAGTAGTTATTAGTAGTTATTTAGTAGTTATTTAGGTTTTAATACGTTAAGTTTAAGTTTATTATACATTAAATAGCTATTGGTAGACTTTAGAGCCCGATTCATTTTTTTGTACCGCATTTTCCAAATTATTATCATAACAAGCCATTAAAGAATCATCTGCAAATATATTTATAAAATCACAATCGACAAAGAGGTTTAAATCATTTATATACAAGATAAATTAAAGTAGCCGCAGAACGCTACCTTGGGGTACACCAATGTTAATATCCTTTTCAGCAGATATATTATTATTAACTTTTACTCTTTGTTTTCTTCCAAGTAAGTAATTAGTAAACCAATTCAAAACACAACCATTAATGCCATATCCAGTAAGTTTCTTTAAGATAATATTGCGATCTATGGTTTCAAATGCTCTCTTTAAGTCTAGAAAAGCTGCTACTACATAGTTATTATTGTCTACCTCCGTTTTAAATTTACACACGGAGAGTTGCAGAGCTGCTTCACAATTACTCTCAATTCACTCAATGACAACAACCGAAAATTTTAAAATTGAGGATATATATTATAGTTACAGAAATTTCCTGTTATTTCAGTAGCGATGCTATCAACTATTTGAGTAATGCTACCTATAAAAAAATATATTAAATTTACTTGCAATTTCAGTAACATTATGTTTAATTTGGCGTTCATTATTTAAATTAAATTCAATAAAATTTGGAAAATTTTGACTGTTAGTATTAATTAACTTTTTAAGAGTCTTCCACATTATTTGAGAATTATTTTTATACCTATCAATTTTATTAAAATAATATTGTTCTTTTTTTATTTTTAGTAAATTTACAACTTCATTCCTCAATTTTTTTAAATGCTCCCCATTTTTTATTTTTATCAGCACCAGATGTGGTCTGAAATTCTTTATACATTTTATCCTTATCCTTTATTTTATAATGAATGTCATTATCAAACCATGGAACATTACTTTTATACTGGCTACATTATTTATTACCATTTGACAGTTCTTATAAAGTTCATTGTATATAGTATTTACATCAGTAGAATTTAAGTTCCAATTACATGATATTAAGTCGAGTTTAATTTTATCTAAGTTAGTTTTACTAAAGTTTCTATACATTTTAGTGGTTATATTTATGTATTTGTTGTTATTACTAAGATTAACAGATATTATAGAATGGTCACTAATTTTCGGAGTATGATGAACTGTAGTATTAACAAAATTATTATTAACTAATACATAATCTAACAAAGTTTTACTATTATTTGTAATTCGTGATTAATTGGTCAATTCCATATTGTGAAAACATTGCTTTAATTTTATTACATTAAAGTTAAAATCGCCTATTAACAAACAGCATCGATTATTAGCAAAAATAGAATCACATATATTTTCCTGACTGTCCAAAAACACAGCATCAGAACTTGATGGTGAATGGTAGAGACAACCCATTAACCACTGATAACCACTAAGATCAAGTTTTATTACTTTACACAAATAATTTGGCTCAAGCACAAAGGTCTTAGCAACAGAAAATTTTAAATTATCCTTCACGTACATTATTACCTCCCTGTGCTTCAGTTTGAGGAGTTACATCTGATCAGATTATACCCAACGATTTTAATTTTAGATTCTTCAATTTTCTTGGTAATTCTTGCTTCACTTATAAAAATTATCTTAGGACAGTAACATAATAAACTTACTTGAATTTCATCGATTTGGTTAAGTAAACTTTGGGCATTTAAGTAGAGTATATCAATATTAAACGGAATATTCGTTAATTTTTTTGTCTTGGTGTTACATCTTTATTTACAATAGTGGGGGTATTATTAATAAACTTTATCGTTTTTGAATTATCACCCTGAGTAATAAGATCATCTAGTGTAGACTTAATTATGTTGACTTAATATTGTTGTTATGGGTTGTAATTGCATTGATAATACAAAGAATTTATAGCAGTTGAAAAGGACATCAGCGAAATAAATTTTTGTCAAGGGTTAAAAAAATTGGAGCAGCCTGAATTAGTGTTGGAGGGTGAAAGAGTTAACTATATGTTTTAGAAATCCATTGGTGTAACTTCTTAATTAATGAATAAATTAATTAATCCAAAATTGTGTTTTATTAACCTCACTAAGTAGGATGTCAACTATCGGAGCAAATCATGTCAACTACTAGAACTACCTAATCTGCACATGTCAACCTTTGGAGTAAATGCATAAAGTCAAAAAAAATTACCAAAAAGAAAATTAAAACAATCTATCATTTTAATATGAATGTTTACCTAGACCACACTTAAGGTGTTCTATCTGAAGTTGATAACAAAATATAGAGGCAAATTTATAAAATTAATTGTAAATTTACCATTATATTTTTCTTAATGTGTCGACTACTGGTTTCTTTACCTTAACTATTAAATTTGTTATGAGAAAATATATAATTCAGAAATACCTGAAAATTTTTCTGCCGAATCAACAATACATTCCTGAACAAATCATCCAAAGGTAACTGATTTAAAAAAGCAACCAAATCGTTTTCTTTCAAAGGCTTTATAGGCAAATTGTCATCATCCTCTCCATCTGAATCAACCATAACCCAAAAAGCTTCAGCACACGTATCATTTTTTACCGCCAAATCTTCCAGAAATTCCTCCCTGCTATGAACAGGAGTCAAAATAGCAGAGAAAATTGTTAATACGTGGTTTATTTGAAAATTTGCAAAAGGAGAATCAGTCGAGTTTATGTTTAATGGCGTTTGAATGAAGGAGGAAGCCCAAGATCCAACACCAGCTGGGCATCTACAATTAAAATCAATAAATAAGACAATAAAGATATTCTTATGGTTAAAAAGAGTGACAAAAATTAATACGTACCTTAAAATATGGTTCAAAATGAAAATATGATCTTGATAATTTGCTACTCTTAGAAGAACAGCCACCAATTGTGACAACCAAGACCTACTTTCTTTGATAAACTTTATTTCTCTGACAAGTTTTCTTTGAAATGAGAAAAGGATTGAAATGCACATCCTAAGTTCTCCGAGATATGGTTTAAGATGTGGAGACTCATCATGAACAGTTAGCGCAACAGGAGCATCTTTTGATAATTGAGTCACATTTATGGAATTGTAAATTACACTTTGAAGATACAGTTCTATCTGCAAATATAAATTATGTACACAGTTTTCAAAAACTCATTTATAAAGTTCCCAAAAAGTACCTGAAGTCTTAAATCTTCTGCCGTATAAGAATAAAGGGCATGATTTTCGTATGTCAAATCCTGGACATTTCCTAAAATCCTAACAATATTTTGAAACACAGATCTATGAAATATGCTTCTATTATAACTGTGTGAAGCTGAAACTGCCGCTCCATCTTGACAGACTCCCTTGCCCGTTACAGTGACAGTTTCAATAGTCCAGAGATCTTCCTGTAAAGCTTTGTATTCTTTTCTTATTTGATCCAATTCCATGGTATTTCCAGTTATTTTTTCCTGAATTCGTAAATAGTTTATTAGCAATTCATATAGAGGGTGTTGTTTCATTACTGCACCTACAAGATCATGTTTTTTACATTAAAAACTTTTAAGTATTATAATTGATTATTAATAAACTATTAACAATAAATGATTGTCAAATTATTATCAAATAACTCTTCAGAAGCTTTTTCTACTTTGTATAATCCATTTTAAGTCTGATATATAATCCTACTCTCAGTAAATTACTCCATGATAACGAAATTTCAATTACCTTTCAGTTCTGCTTGAACATACTGTTTGATAAAATCATCTAATGTCTCCAGTTCTTGATTGTAATATAAAGCACTTAATTGTGATTCTGTGTATGGTTTAATGCCCATGGGAAACTCGATCTCTTTCAGATTAGTGTTAGTCACTTCTCTAGTCTTCTCATAAATTATGTCTTGCTTTTCTATTTCCTTTATGATCTGTTTATTGTTCATAAGAATTTTCTCAGGTTCTATCATTTTTTTGGTGCTTTCATTCAGTGCTTCCTCTAATTCTTTTGACATGGATCTATGCAGTAATTCTGGAGAAAAAAATTATTTATATTAAAAAAAAATAGATCCTAGTTTTACATTAGGTAGGATAAAAACATAAGTTAACCTGGGAAAATGTTTTTTTTTTATAAAAATTACTTATTAATAATAATAATAATTTTTATTATGTTGTATTAATGATAATATAGTTTGTTTATAAAAGTTTGTAATAATAGTACCTTTAATCAGGCATATGTCATCACTGAAATTACCACCTCCAGATAATTGAATGAAACAAAGAATGAAACGTATTATCCGGAAATAAATAAAACAATACAATAATATCTTTATTTACCTGAGAAAATATTACATTTTATGGCTCCTCAAATTACAATTAAAACTAAATATATATACATATATAATAAAATTTACCTAAATATAATAATATAAAATTGAAATTTACAAACATTTACAACATAGTTCACTGAATCACTCAGAGGCCACAGTGACATCTTCCATCTGTATTAATTTAAATTCCTCTAAGCTATATAGGATAACATTTGTTTTAATGCATGTTTAAATTTATCTATAGGCTGATTTCTAAAATTAAGTGGTAGTATATTGTATAGCTCAATATAATATTTCTTTGTCCTTTCCAGTCTATACTGGATAGGAACTAAGTTATCTTTGTGCCTTGTATTATAGTTATGGATATCTGAGTGGGAAAAAATGTGTTAATATTATTTCTTACTAATAGAAGGTTTTAATAGATTATTACTGCATAGAGTGTCATAATTTTAAGTTCTGGGAATACTGGTCTACAACTGGCAAAATAAAGACTCTTGAGATATGTGTGTCAGCAGCATTGCCCCAACATATTGTCCCGTATATCAAATGACTATGAAATAGAGCATAGTAAGCAGTAATTGCTGCATCTTGACCACATATTTGGTGTATTTTCCTGATAGCAAAAACTGCTCGCAATAATTTGGAACAAAGTGCTTCAATATGATCTGTCCATCTGAGATGTGGATCAATTTGAATGCCAAGTGTTTAAACAGAATTGTTATTAGCTTGTTCACTATTTACTGTAAATAATTGGGAGATAGTTTTTGTGTCATTTAAAAACAGGTCATTTACAGAAAACCACCTTTTTGCCTGAATCATGACATCAGAGTAAACTTATTATAAATGAAATGATACTCTTACCTGACTCCTCGCCTGACTTTTCACTACTTTTATTCCCTACTTTATCCAAGGAACCATAAATGTTGGTAACATCATATTGATGAACTGTTTCAGGGCACTGAATTGGAGGTTCTACATTATCTTGTAATGTTTTATTATCCTGAATAGTTTCTACAGTTTGTTCATGTGCAGTTTTCTCAATATTTTGTTGGATATTTGATGTTTCTTTAGTGGGATTAATTTCTTTTTTTACTCTGTCGGCAGACGTACTACATTCTATTGTTGGAATTTGTTCGACAGTACTAGTAGGAATCGATTCAAAATAATCTTGATTTTTGATTGAAGAACTTTGTTGTGTGGTTGTATTGCTTTTGATTTCAGTTTTCTGTTTGTTTTTCTTCTTTTTCTGAAGATAAAAATATATAGATATATGAAAATTATTTTGAATTTTCGCTAATTGTGATAAAAGTACATTGCCCTAAGTAATGCAAGGACAAGTCAGAGATCAGATTGCATTTACACAACAAATATAAAATGGCCAACAAAAATATATGGACAAATAAAAATTCTACAGACATACACATTGCAATGATAAAACATACCATTTTGTTTATATTTTAAAAGATTGCTTTGGGTAAAGGACTAATTATTAAAAGCAGATTATAAAATAAAGAATTATTAAAATTTACCTTAGTCTGCAAATTTTCCTTTTCGATTTCCATTATTTATAACTACTGTTTATTATTTACCATAAGATTTTGTTTTGCTACAATGTCCCTTATTCAAAATATGTGTACATTTGATTGCAATCGCAATCAGTAAATGAAAATATTACTTGATATTACAATAATTACATACAACTTTTTCAAGATGTTGAAATGTCAAAACAAATAGGCAAAACTCAAGTGTCAAAAGTGTATCTGTCATTAAACATCTTCTTCTAGTTTGTTTGTTTTACTGGAGTTAGCTTAGGCTGGGTTTACACTATGCGTATTCAAGGCATTCGTATTCGTAGAATGCGTATGTGTTTAGTAGGGACAGAAGTTTGAAAGGCTTTTGGTAAGTAGAGAGGTGGTAAATGACGAACTTCGTCAAAGGACATCGAGAACTTCGCGGTATGTTTGTTCACCATGGTCGTATAATACCAAACATTTTAAATTATTACCGGTATCGGACAAACGTATGGTTTTTGTGTTTGTAGGTACTATATGAGTGATGATAAACGTCAAATTCCGTCAGACGATTTCGAGAATTTCGCGATCGATGATTTTTCTTTGGCATTGTCGTATCGTAGAATAAAAATTATTATCAGTAAAATCGGGCAAACGTATCTATTTATACAAATAATTACTATTTAGACAAGTAATAATATCTCAAATTCAACAGCTATTCACAATTGATTAAAATATGTTTGCGAAATTGTTATTAGCAATTACAAAATAATTTCCTATGCCAATGTTTCGAGTTCACTTCGATTAGCTCAGAGTCAAATCCCGTGTATGAAGTGGGAAAACTTGCAAAATCCTTTCCAAATTCTGCGCATACATTTGAACGTCCCAGTATGCATAGTGTAGACCCGACCTTAGCTGACAAATGACCAACTGCAAATCAATGAAGTATATAGTTATATAGATTGCTCACCCATATGTGAATAATAAGACTACGAAAAAGCGAACTCATTGGACATAACCGTTCTAGCCCAAATGTTTTAAAAAAAATTCAGCATTTTATATTGGATTTTGGTCGATTAATTTTTTTAAAATGTCTATACAGGGTAATGGATTATTTGTAACATAATTATTTATTTCTGTTACGTAATAGTTGATAGTTATTGGTATAACTATCATATTGTATGTAGTTTTGATAAACAGTATATATCATCAAAACTGGGTGCAAAGGCTTGTGCGTTATTTAATTATTCAAAATAGAAATTTTGGTTTTGATTGGGTTTTTTTTGGAAATAATTTTGTATTTGATTAAAATTTGCAATTTCTCGATTCATTTCCCAGACAACACACCAAATCCCAGAGATATCCACAGAATATCTTTTGTGGATATCCAATATATCCACAGGATATCAGAAATATTCCGTAGATCTAATATGGATATCCAAATGTCCGTCTATATCCAGAATATAGAAGATATCCTATGGATATTCAGCAAAATATCTAATGAGTATCTTCCAGACAATACAAGAAATCCCAGAGATATCCACAGAATATATTTTGTGGATATCCAATATGGATATAGAATTCAGATATTCAGCAAAATATTTTATAGGTATCTTTAGTAGAGGTTCATAAGTAACCAATGATTATTGAATAACCTCGAAAGAAAATAGAGATAAAAAATATTTCCAACAATCTGCCTTTGATTTTGCCCACTATAAGGGCACTAAGGAGAAAGTCATCCTTATTAGGACTCTTCAGCAATAAATGGAAATTCTCGACTCCAGTCTCTAATAGAGTGTGATTGCCAAAAAAATTCGATCGAACTCATTTACGGCGGGTTGAGCATGAGTAGATACGAAAGTGGTATCGCCATCTATACTTAGGAAGCAAAATCAAAAATTACATCTAGTAGATATCCACGATGGTTTGCGTCCGCGCTTAGACTTTGATATATTTATATTTATAGTGGATGTCCATGGGATATAGAATACACCTTAAAAAAATTAATTTTAAATATCTGAACGGTACTATTAGCCACAATGGCGAGCACAATGGCGTAATTTTTTAATAATTTGCTATATAATTACTATTATTTATGGACATTTGCATGTCTATAAATTACATTTCATGGATATAAAATAGATATCCACCATGGACTGGACATTCAGTGGATATTGGGATGTTCATTAGATATCCAAAGGATTTGGTGTGCTGTCTGGGTTTATGAGTTAAAATGATATGTTTATGCTCAAATTATAGCTAATAATAATCAACATTAAATAAATGGTTTATAGACAGCTTTTCATAACCAAATACTCAGATACCTGGCTCCTTAGAGGTGAATTAGCAACACCAAGTACCGGGTACTTCCCCTCGTAAGAGTATTACACTGCAGTGTTTTCGAAATATGAAAGTAATCTATATAATATAGGCAATTTCTTTAATATTGACTATTGTAAACTAAGAGATGAAAATGAGGGATTGAACCAAATGGTAGGTAAAGATTAAAGATTCAAGATTACAATCGATGAGCTGGTATGGAAGTTTATGGAGAAAAGACAGTAAACAGTAAATACACACTATAAATGGAAAGGTTAATAGAAAGAGTAACTAGCTATATAAGTAACAATAAATTGTGTATTCACTAACACTAAATAAGTATATATATTTAAAAAAATACTTTTTATCAATACCATTTAATTTCACTGGTGTTTATTGTAATAATAATAGTTAGTGTTAAATATACAGAACAAAGTTCTTTTGATTACTGAACAGAATATATTAATTTTTTAAAGTATTGCCTTATTAAGACCATTATATTTTTTGTCAAATTTGACCTTCTAATTTTATAGTAACATCCTTCACTAGTTTTAATAAACATGTCAATTATCTGTAAAATAATATTTACTATTATTTATAAAATGTACATTTAAATCTGTAAAAATCTTATACTAATTTCTAAAACGGTCCTGTCTGTAAATTATTTGTTTACAACGCTGTACTTAAAATTGAGACAAAACATAAACATTCCATGTATTAGATAAAGAGAAAGTTTCGCCCAATGAAATCCGCTTTTCGTAGTGATTGACAGGACGAATAATCTATATAACTATATTTCATTGATTCAAATAAATGTTCAATTTTGACGTTTAGAGATTTTGACTTTCAAGACGTGATGGTGACGGGCGAAGGTTTATCTTCTTTCGATTAGAATTCTCGTGTTAAATATTCATTTGATTGAGCAAAATTCGGAGTTTCTGTTTAGATTAAATTTATTTCGTGATCTATTCTCATGTTTCTATGAAAACATATAGCAATATCATCTAGCACATTTCAGTCTCTATAGACATTTTCATTGAAAGAAATTACATTGTTTTTAGAATCGAATCAAAGTTCTATTTTTGTGCACGATTTTCTTTATTGTTCTACAGTGTTCCTTAATTCGTCGTTTATTCATCTAACTGCCATTCCAATACACCTCTAGGGTAAAGGATGAAAGTAAACTGATCATCACATTCAAGGTAAGAATACCTATTAATAATACATATTTTATTTATTTTCACAAAAATAGGGAGTACCTAAAGTAAAACTGGAATTAACTATGATTAACAATAATGAATTCATAGATGTATGGGAAATCCCTTTTTAAAGGTATTTTTATAATAACATTCTTAACCACAAAACAAAGTAATTGACAATAAAACTCACTTGAAAGATGACTCTTATAAAATAAATCCTATATTATAATTTATCATATAAAATAAGGTTTATTTATGTGAAAAATACATTTAGAAATATCAAAATTTAAGTATTCATAAAAGACTTATTTTTTCTGAAATAAATATACCTAGAAAAGTCCCTGGAAGCAACAGTCATTGACATTTAATTTTTTCATTTACATATCATTATTTGATACACCATTTATAGGCATAAACTAAAGGAAAATATTTTTAAATTATAGATCTACTTAAAATTTTAAATGCAAACTAGAAGAAGCTGTCCCTTAATTTCGATATTTTTATTCGGAAAAATTTTTGGTTTAAATGGACTTTAGTATCATAAAAATTTACAAATATATAAAAATTAGTGTATTTATTTAAAAAAAAATGGATTAATTAAATTTGAATTATTAGTTAAAACAAGATAATGCTGTTGTTTATGTTAATAGTATTAAAGTAAAGAAATGCAATGAATACTGTCCAATCAATACTTTACCTTGTGCTGAAAAAAAAAACTATTAGTCAGTAATTTACCAACAGTTGTTAGAATATTTTAATTAAAAAAATACTCTTTAGTAATGAATCTGGTTTTAGATCTATCCATTCATGGGAATCAGTACTTGAACTTACTGTTACTGAATGGAAAGGATTCTTAGACCTCAAACATATGTTCAAAACTGTCGAATCATGAAATATTCAAAAAATTAAAAAAAATATGGCATAATAGGTAAAGCATTTGATTGAATTAGTGGTAGATAGAAAACAGGTAACCAAAATTAATGATTCTGTTTCAACATCAATTGATGTAGTACATGGCGTGCCTCAAGGTAATATTAAAGAGTCATTGCTATTCTAAATCTATATTAATGATATCAGTAATTGTAGTGAATTTTAATTTGTACCTAGGATAACATCTAGACATAATATTACATTTCTAAGTAAACGAGCTCAAACTAATTTGTTATCAAAAGCGCCAATTAAAAATTAAAATTAAAAAACAAATCAAGAGATTATCTTTGAATTCATATTAATTTTTTATTATTTTCTATTTTTTACTTTTGTTATAATTTTTTATTTACTTATCTTATGTATTTTCTTAGTTAAATTTTATATTGTTAAATTTGCCCTGTAAGGGCAATAAATGCTTTTATTATTATTATTATTATTATTATTATTATTATATATGTTTTTAGACTTTTAAAAATGCGCGGTTGCGTAGATAAGCTTTACTCTATCAAAATAACAAAAACCAATATTTAGAACGACATTTCAGATACAAATTTTAATACTAATGGTTCAATTTATCAATTAAAAAAAATAATTAACATCAAATAGTAACACCTCTAAATATATTTTTTAGTGTGTTTTCAATGTGCCTTTCCGCGGATAAACATTACTCTTATCAAAATAACAAAAACCAATATTTAGCACGACATTCTAGATACAATTTTTAGTACGAATAATTGAGTACATTAGTATCATTCAAAAAAATTCTGAATCATTATATAGCAAGACCTCTAAATACGTTTTTTATGTCTTTAAAAATGCGCGGTTGCGCGGATAAGCTTTAATCTATCAAAATAACAAAAATCAATATTTAGATCGACATTTCAGATAAAAATTTTAATACGAATGATTCAGTATATTAGTATCAGTCCATGGGAAAAATTAAATATCTCCAAAATTACAAAAAATATCGACAAAAAAAATTCTTTGAAAAGTTCGCCTCTTGAACTATATTCTCACTTGTCCCAGTTCAACTGTAAGCATTAGAAATATACATTTCATTCTTGGTTTCCACTTCCCCCAGTTTATGGAGCAAATGGGAACTATAACACTATATTTTCTTTATTTGTTTTCGAACATGTATATTATATGGAGAGTGTTGTTAACTTCAGGATCCAAAGTAAACCTAACGTAGTAACACCTGCCCAAATTTCAGCTTTATGGAGCAATTACAGCCATTTTTATAACATGGTAAAGCTGAACTTTCATATTTGTAGGTCCCACTTATCCCACCTCACCTTAAATCATATATAAAGACATTTTTAAAGTATTTAAAAATGCGCGGTTCCGCGGGTAAACATTACTATATAAAAATAACAAAAAGCAATATTTAGCACGACATTTCAGATACAATTTTTAATACAAATGATTTAGTACATTAGTATCATTAAAAATAATAATAAATTATTACATATGAAGATCTTTAAATATGTTTTTAAAACATTTAAAAATGCGCGGTTCTGCGGATAAACATTACTCTATCAAAATAACGAAAACCAATATTTAGCACGACATTCTAGATACGATTTTTACTACAAATGATTCGGTACATTAGTATAATTCAAAATAATAATAAATCATTACATAGCAAGATCTCTAAATTTATGCATTTTGTAGCTCTTTAAAAGTGTGCGGTTCCGCGAATAAACGTTACTCTATGAAAATAACAAAAAAACAATATTTAACACGACATGCCAGATAGAATTTTTAGTACGAATGATTCAGTACATTAGTATCATTCAAAAAAAAAATTATAAATCATTATATAGCCAGGCCTCTAAATACGTTATTAAAGTATTTAAAAATGAGCGGTTCCGCGGGTAAAGATTACTCTATAAAAATAACAAAAACCAATATTTAGCACGACGTTTCAGATACAATTTTTAATACGAATGATTCAGTACATTAGTATCATTAAAAATAATAATAAATCATTACATAGGAAGATCTCTAAATACGTTTTTAAAACATTTAAAATTGAGCGGTTCTGCGGATAAACATTACTCTATTAAAATAACAAAAACCAATATTTAGCACGACATTCCAGATACAACTTTTAATACGAATGATTCAATACATTAGTATCATTCAAAAAAATCTTAAATTGTTACATAGCAAGACCTCTATAAATACGTTTTTAAAAATGCGCGTTTTCGCGGGTAAACATCAAAATAACAAAAACCAATATTTAACAGGACATTTCATAGCTTCAATTTAAATTTCCTTGTCTTTATCAAGGGTTCTTTCATTTTTGACAAAAGCCAACAATCTGAATAGTAAATACAAAATCACAAACAACACCTAATCATTCATCCTTATCATAATAATTTAAATGGACTACTTAAGGATTGTTATCGTGTGCAAGTAAATTCAATAATATTCTTATAACAGCATAATAAGTTAAAGAAATATGTAATAAAATTGTTTTTACTCGTTTGTGATTCTTTTTATATAATCATTCTAGTAAGTAGATTTTTTTTATTAATTTTTGATGTACCTTCTATGGTAATGTTCAAAATAGATTTTACTTGCCTTACTTACGTACTTTGTACCATACATTTTTTTGTGACCATGCTTCTGTAATTTTTATAATGTTCCAAAATTGTTATTTTTTTGTGGTTAGGTACTTTGTGTAATTACATACCTACATCATGTTTACCTTTTAATAACTATATTGATTCCTTAACTAAAAAAAGTTAATGGAATTTCATTTATACAGGGTGTTTCATTAATTGTATTTGCTCGATAGTTCAATTTGGGTTATAGATATGCAAGTTTCAAATAAATGTTTTATGGTGTTGAAGAAGGCATATTTTAAAAATATTTTAGGATGTACAGGATAATACGATTTTGTCTGGTTAATAAAAATGTATATCCTCTTTGTGAAAATGAAGTACTAACTCTACTTTCTACTTCACCAGCCATCTTCTTAAGTCTAGAATAACTGCTTCTAGAAATCCCTGTAGCAGCTAAAATTCTCTCTCTGTATTTGTGTAATGGTATTTAAATACCGTGTTCAGCCTCGTTTTTCATAAAATTTATGAGGCGTGAAATTATTTCTTTCCTTTGACTTTGAAGAATTTGGCCCTTTTTGCCTAATAATTTTTTCTGTTCCATTTTGAACGAGCTAAAAATATAGATATTTGTAGAAAATTTGTTTTAAATAATATTAAACTTATTTTTCTATTCATCAAAAGCAAAGGAAAATTTTTAAAATAGTAATACAAATTAAAATTACTTAAAAGCTAGTGCTTCGGTAATAAGATAAAATTCGTAGGTTTTATATATTTTATCACCAAGTTCTTAATATTTAAGGTATTTACGTGATATTTTTTTTTGTTGCTATCTAGTAACTTAAACTACAATTCTGTAGTATGAAAGTATTACCACAACGCAGAAAAAAAACACGGGTTGCACTCCGGGAGTGCCGGCAGAAGTGAAAACTTGAATATTAACGTTGTGCATTTTTGACTCTCACTCCACTCTCACTCCACTCTCACTCCACTCTCACTCCACTCTCACTCCACTCTCACTCCACTCTCACTCCACTCTCACTCCACTCTCACTCCACTCTCACTCCACTCTCACTCCACTCTCACTCCACTCTCACTCCACTCTCACTCCACTCTCACTCCACTCTCACTCCACTCTCACTCCACTCTCACTCCACTCTCACTCCACTCTCACTCTCACTCCACTCTCACTCCACTCTCACTCCACTCTCACTCCACTCTCATTCCACTCTCACTCCACTCTCGCTCCACTCTCAATCCACTCTCAATCCACTCTCAATCCACTCTCAATCCACTCTCACTCCACTCTCACTCCACTCTCACTCCACTCTCGCTCCACTCTCACTCCACTCTCACTCCACTCTCGCTCTACTCTCGCCCCACTCTCACTCCACTCTCGCTCCACTCTCACTCTACTCTCACTCCACTCTCACTCCTCTCTCGCTCCACTCCACTCTCACTCCACTCCACTACAATCGATTGTTCGATTAATCGATTTCGATG